GCTCCAAAACCTGCCTGATTCGCAGGAACAGTTAATGGAACCCGGGTTCGAAGTTGACAATTCAGGACAATTGGTACATGCCTGTGATCCAGCAACAGCTTTGTAAGCGTTGGCAGGGCATTCTGTACACGACCTGGAGCTCCAAAACCTGCCTGGTTCGCAGGAACAGTTAATGGAACCCGGGTTCGAAGTTGACAATTCAGGACAATTGGTACATGCCTGTGATCCAGCAACAGCTTTGTAAGCGTTGGCAGGGCATTCTGTACACGACCCGGAGCTCCAAAACCTGCCTGGTTCGCAGGAACAGTTAATGGAACCCGGGTTCGAAGTTGACAATTCAGGACAATTGGTACATGCCTGTGATCCAGCAACAGCTTTGTAAGCGTTGGCAGGGCATTCTGTACACGACCCGGAGCTCCAAAACCTGCCTGGTTTGCAGGAACAGTTTATGGAACCTGGGTTCGAAGTTGACGATTCAGGACAATTGGTACATGCCTGTGATCCAGCAACAGCTTTGTAAGCGTTGGCAGGGCATTCTGTACACGACCCGGAGCTCCAAAACCTGCCTGGTTCGCAGGAACAGTTTATGGAACCTGGGTTCGAAGTTGACGATTCTGGACAATTGGTACATGCCTGTGATCCAGCAACAGCTTTGTAAGCGTTGGCACGGCATTCTGTACACGACCCGGAGCTCCAAAACCTGCCTGGTTCGCAGGAACAGTTTATGGAACCTGGGTTCGAAGTTGACGATTCTGGACAATTGGTACATGCCTGAAATCCAACAACAGCTTTGTAAGTGTTGTCTTGACATTGTATACACGGGCCGGAGATGCGATACATACCTGGAGAGCATATAGTTAGACCCCTGCACGTTAGGAAGATATCCTCATGGTGACCACAACCTACAGTATAACCAGGCTGAAACTCACTGTAGCTACACGAGGACCATGTGGGTGATGAGCAGATTACATCGTTTATTTTTATATTATAGCGAGATTGTAAGGAGGACCATTGGTCGCTATTCAACCAGCTGGTACTTGACTCATATCCTAATTCCTTACAAATGGCTGTGGCCGATGTGCTTCCACTTCCACTGAAGTCATCGTCACAAACTGTACCTCCTGTCCAGAGCAATAGGCCCATCTGCTCGTTTGTTATCGTAACTCCGGAAGAGTCAACTAGCTGGAAACTGGTCTCTGAAAATTGGAGTGCGAGGTTCTAAAATTACAAACGAACAATAGGTTAAAACATAAAATGTATTTGTGGTAATACTACATCATGATATGGTCCCTGTCCCTAATCCTCAATCTTTTACTTCAATGGACTTTTTTGATATCATAAGGGGTATCATGTAATTTATTTTTCTCGACAAATTTATAACGAAGAGGAATTCGGCTACTTTCTTTTCAGCAGCTTGAGCTAAGGCAAATTTTGTTAACTTTTAAAATTTTTGATACTTCCATTATATGGGTGCAATGTGCAAGATATGATGACCGCAATGGGCACTTTTATAAATGATTAATTGGCCAATGGCCAAACCCATGGCTTAACCACCGCCGAGCGATTCAACACGGCTAAGAAAACATGAACTCATTTTGAAAATTGTTAACTCGTGACTTGGAATTGCGATATTGAGATATAATTTGGGTTTCACAGAGACTTTCACGATTTAAGGATTAAATATGAAAAACATACCTCCAGTTGTGAAGAGAAGAGCCAACATAATGACTAGTTTCCAACACATCGTAGTAACGATCACGATAAACAATTTGCAAAATCTGAACTGGATTTAGGCCGACGATCAGATGGGCGACCACAAATTTTGGATCGGAATTTAACTGTCATGAAGATGTTGACTGTCATGAAGATTGAAGATGTTGATTCAACATACTGACCCTGGTCATTAGGAAAGTTCGCACGAGATGGACCACGTTTTTCCCAATTTAACTTTGGAAGATTGTCACAGGAAGAGCTTTTAAGATAGGCATATAATATTTTATGTCTTCTGTTCAACTAATCGAGTTTCGATAAATCAAATTTTTGAAGCATTTAGTCGACGGCAAATTGAGGCGAACGAGTCATTTTACATTTTGTTTATTATTATTATTATTATTTTGCTGTAACTTCTTTCAAACTTCATGAATCGAGATAAATTATTTTGCAATGTATTCAGAGTTAATATATCAATATGCACTTATACTAATCACTTGGAATACTTGGAAATAACAAGCTCAAAAACGCTACTGACGTATTTATCCATAAAAAGTACAATAGCGTGCGAAGCTTTTGTCTAGGTGCCTCGAAAGTGATCTTAAACGATTCCCCGTTCAAAATTTTGGTCGGAGAACGCGAACGCCAACTTAGTGCATAATCAAGGAAGTTATAGACATATTTTATACGTATCAAATTTGAAGTGCTTTTGGCGGAGATATAACGTGCGCCCACTTGGAAACGTGTTTGCGATAAAAAATACGTTTAGTAAAGTATGTTTTCAGAGTTGAGTAAAGTATGTTCAGAGTTAAGTAAAGTATGTTCAGAGTTAAGTAAAGTATGTTCAGAGTTAAGTAAAGTATGTTCAGAGTTTAGTAAAGTATTTTCAGAGTTAAGTAAAGTATGTTCAGAGTTTAGTAAAGTATATTCAGAGTTAAGTAAAGTATGTTCAGAGTTTAGTAAAGTATGTTCAGAGTTCCTATTACGTTTGAGACTTGAGTAGAAATACCGTGAGCCCTCTGTAATTTCAATTTGAAGTCTCGACCGCCTAGACTAAATTGTTGCATTATAGTAGGTATCAACTTAATAACACCAGAATGTGTGTCTGTCTGTGTGTCTGTCTGTCCGTGTGTAATTTCCGAACGGTTATACAAAAAAAACGGTAATAGTTACGGGACTGGTTTTTTCGGTATAGTGCCGACAAAACTCTGATGAAGCCCATAAGCAAATTTTTTTTAAATCGGCTGATGGTAAGTGGTTTAATTGATGATTTTGTAACACAAATGCAACATTACGGAGTGAGCCACTAAAATGGCTCACGTTTTATCCCTGTTCGCGCTCTCTCTCTCTCTTCCATTACTGTAGCGTTGGTAATTAGGTTAGCCCCGCAAGTGATATTAGGGGTCTGTTTCAGAGTGTTTGGACTGTAGAAAGAGTTCATACTTTATTATTAGTGTGTGGTGCGGAGTTAATAAGGGTTAATAAAAATGGAAAGCGGTTCAAGACGGGAGTGATGTGGTGTAATAGCCGTGGTACAGACTGTATGGAGTACGGACCTTATGATCATGGAATGTGGTGCTTAATAATGACTTAATTATCCACGAGAAAGAAGTTAAGTTTGAGTTTGGGCCTATTCCCGCAGTAATACTATAAACTTATTAGGGGAGGGAGTGCTCAAACGGTCTGTTTGGACTGTAGAGAGAGTTCATACTTTCATACGACAATGTAATGCATGTTCACAAATATGATAGGCTGGTGTGGTGCATGGTGCATGGTGTTAAGGGTTAATTTCTATTGATTATTGATTAAGAATTACTATCTTTTAAGCATACTATTGGATACGTGAGGGCACTCCGAATAGAATTGCTCGCCTAATCCGGGTTTTGACTCAGCAGGTAATTACTCCTACCCTTTTTAACTGCGGCAGTGAAATCCCGGCCGTAGGCCGGGTTACACTAGTCCGTATATAAACTACAAATTTAGAAGCAGTGGTGTAACTTTGTATGTTGGCCCCCCTCTAATTCTATTGGAGCCCCTCTTTTCCCGGTCCTAAACTTAAAGTAGAAAGGTAAAATTAAACTAATAATTAATGGGCTGTATCTTCGGTGGTGATGGAGATAGCCTTTGGTATTAAATTCATTTGATAAACGAAATAATACAAACAACGAAAAAAGTTGTAGTTATATCTACTGTCATAATGTACAGAACACGATTAATTCAAACCTGATCTCCACTTATTTAACTTGTATAAGATTATATAATGATTTCAAGATGACAATTAAATATGAAAATATTTTTGTTAACTTTTAAGATTTAAACCTCGTCAAAACTTACCACAATAATATTATATTCATATTTTGCTACTACTTCATTTATTGATTTCGTCAAATATGTATATTAACATGTTAATATTATGAAAAATATGTTACCAATTGAAAGTATACTTTCAATTGGTAGTATATTTTTCATGATATTAACATGTTTTTGTTTTATAGTTTGATTAATGATGAGCATATAACGTACAACTGTAATATGATATCCTACGGGTCAAATCGAAAAGTAAATTTTAAAAATGTAGGAGGTAAATTAAACTGAAAGAATTAATTAATTAAAAGTACAAGAAGCAAACTAAATTCCACAAAATCTGTGATATCGTAATCATGATCTGAATGACTAAAAATTATTTTAATCGGCTTTTACGATTTACTGCTGAGCAAGTGAAATAGAAATCCTTAACTCATGATTTGAGAGCAGTTCATTGGTCGGTACCTTTGGAATCAAGCTGGGTAAATGATCGAAAAGTCTCTAGCTCAAATATGGCGGATATAATATCACTTTGATCATTAGACGAAATACTGATATTTTCAAATTAAATATTTATTTTTAAAAAAAAAAAAAAAAAATTTAATAAAAAAAAAAATCATCTCTAGTCACCACAAAGTACCTCGTAAGGTTAAGGTCCGATATGTGTGTTTTATATTAAAGCGTATTTGATACAGTGGCGTAACGAAGGGCCCTGCTGACCCTGCTGTGCAGGGGGGCGCCGTCTTAGGGGGGCGCCAAATCGTCGTTTGAATGTGGGACAATTTTGAAAACTTAACTAAAGTACTAGCAAAACTGCGCGTTTTGCTCTAGATACACACTTTTTTAGAGATTTTATCTGCGTATCCTCTAAAATCACCTAATTTGTTCAATTTTAGGGAGGGGCACCAAAAGGGGAGGGGGCGCCAACAGGGGGGCGCCTTTTCGGCAGGGGGGCGCCAACAGGCAACGTTACGCCACTGATTTGATACTAAAACATATTGATTTAATCATGATTCATGTATGCTGTTCATGTCTTCTGTCCACTCATTATGAGTTTCACTTTCGACTCACCTAGCAGTTTAATGTCGGAGTAAACTCAGCACTCACGTGTTCACCTGCAACCTGAAATCAATGATAGATTTAAAAAAAAGTTTTAAGAAAACAATGAACAATCACAAGGACTTTACTTTTAATTTCGTTAATTGAATAATATGTTCTGCAAGTAAATTCAACAAAACGTTATCTTATGACGTATTATTATTGTATTTTCGTTCAACCATAGGTATGCAGTAATTTGCTATGTAAAATGACAAGCTTTCTGACAAGAAACTTGTTATAATGCATTTTAACTTTACGAGGAGGAGAAGAGTGATAATTAGTTATAAACATTTTTATAATTGATTTAAAAAAATAATAATCAACATAATATTATGAAATTAATAGTTCATAAAATGCGAACAGTACCTTGCATACTGTAGATGTCTACGAATCTATATTATCATAGATGTTCTCACTGTCCAGGAAGCTTCCTTGTCCATCCTGCGCTGTAGAGCCACAATTTCCTCCCTCATCAAGCATCATATGACTCTCTACTGGGTGGCCCACTACAGAGATACCCCTTTCTTCCTGGCCATCAATCTTCACTCCTTCCTCTGCATTGTAACGAACTCTTACTGGCCCCTCCTCCCTCTTCTTTCTCTTCTCACGGAACAGAAGCAAGCCAATAGTGAACGAAATGCCAGCCAGAAGTGCTGCTATACCATTACCAGCTAGTATTAGAACTACACTCAGACTTTGTGGAAGAGACAAACATGACCCCTCACCTCTCTCACTCCAGCTCCAGACCTTCCCTCTTGGACATATGCAGGATGACTTTACACTGGGATCTTGAGATGTTCCTGCAGGGCAAGCTTGACACCGAAGAGCACCTCGAACACTGGCAAATCCGTAACTGCAGTTTTGGCAACTCGTTTGGTTCCAAAACTGGCCAGACTCACAGATGCAGTATCCATAGCCTAGGTTTGATGATGATCCTTTGGGGCAACTTAAACACGACAGCATGAGCTCACCCTTGAAGGTTCCAGGTGGACAGAGGGTACAGGAGCCATTTGTTAGAGCGTTCCATTCCCACTGACTACCGATTGGACAGCTACAGGATGAGCCGCTTTTAAATGCCTTGGATCCATATGGGCAGTCAAGACACTGGTCGGATCCTTGTGGACTTGCTAAGCCTTGAGGGCAGTCATCACATCTGGTACCATTCCAAAACATGCCGGAAGTACACGTACAGAAGTCAAAGCGTGCAGTTGATGTCGTTCCTTCGGGACAAACTGTACAAGAAAGCATGAGCTCACTCTTGTAAGTGCCAGGAAGACATTGCTTACAAGACCCGTGATGGAGCTCATCCCACTTCCAAACTGTTCCTGCTGGACAGGCACATTCTGTTCCTCCACTCAGTGTTAGATTTCCAGCAGGACAAGATTTGCAGCGCAGTGAACTTTCCTGACTGACTGTCCCCTGGGCACATTTTTTACATATAGTACCGTTCCAATACTGTCCCGATGAACAGATGCAATATTCCGAGCCTATGTTTGAAGATGTTCCCGCTGGGCATATGGTACACGAGGTCATGTTGGGGTTCTTAAAGGTTCCTGGAAGACACAGGCAACTCCTAGAACCTGCTGTAGAGGTAGAAAGTGACGGACACTGTAGACAGGCAGACATTCCGTCAGCACTATAAGTGTCTCTTTTACAACGAGTACAGGATCCGCTGGTTTGAGCTGCCCAATTCCACACTGTTCCTATCGGACAGCTACATTTTGTTCCGTTTTCAAATGCAGTAGAACCTGATGGACACTCGCTACATTGTGTGGTATTATGTGGACTCACCAATCCTTGGGAGCAATTGTGGCATGTGGTTTGGTTCCAAAACATACCTGGTTTACACGAGCAGTAGGTGGAGCCTTGGTTTGCAGTGGACAATTCAGGACAATTGGTACATGCCTGTGATCCAGCAACAGCTTTGTAAGCGTTGGCAGGGCATTCTGTACACGACCCGGAGCTCCAAAACCTGCCTGGTTCGCAGGAACATTTTATGGAACCCGGGTTCGAAGTTGACGATTCTGGACAATTGGTACATGCCTGAAATCCAACAACAGCTTTGTAAGTGTTGACTGGACATTCTGTACACGACCCAGAGCTCCAAAACTTGCCTGGTTTGCAGGAACAGTTAATGGAACCTGGGTTCGAAGTTGACGATTCAGGACAATTGGTACATGCCTGAAATCCAACAACAGCTTTGTAAGTATTGACTGGACATTGTGTACACGGCCCGGAGATGCGATACGTACCTGGAGAGCATAGACCTCTGCACGATAGGAAGATATCTTCATGGTGACCACAACTTGTATAATGCTCAAACTCACTGTAGCCAGCACACGAGGACCATGTGGGTGATGAGCATACTACACCTACTAGTTTTATATTATAGCGAGCCTGTAAGGAGGACCATTGGTCGCTATTCAACCAGCTGGTACTTGACTCATATCCTAATTCCTTACAAATGGCTGTGGCCGAGTTGCTTCCACTGAAGCCATCGTCACAAACTGTTCCACCTTTCCAGAGCAATAGGCCCATCTGCTCGTTTGTTATTGTGACTCCGGAAGAGTCAACTAGCTGGAAACTGGTCTCTGAAAAATGGGGTTCGAGATTCGAACAATATACAGGATATATGATATAGGTTAAAACATAAAATGTATCTGTGGTAATGTTACATCATGCTATGGTCTCTGTCCCTAATCCTCAATCTTTTACTTCAGTGGACTCTTCTGATGAATCTTAGTATCATGTACTTTATTTCTTTTGACAAATTTATAACGAAGAGAAATTCTGCGACTTGTGAACAAACAAATAGCTCAAAATTTTTTTGATACTTAAATGGGTGTAACTGCAATTTGCTTGATGACCGCAATGAGCACTTTTATAAATGACTAATTGGCCATGGCTTAACCACTTCGCCGAGCAATTCAACATTAACGGATGATACTAGTAAAATATTTGCTCCAAATATTAGACCGTCAACGAGAGACCGTCGACGAGTCCAACTCAGCGTGCGTCTTGGTAAGTTGGGTAGGTTTAGGTTATAAACCTACAAATTCAACACGGCCACTATACGAAAACATAAACTCATTTTGAAAATTTTTAACTCGTGAATTGGACTTAAAGTTGAAATTGTGATTTTGAGATAAAATTTGGTTTTCACAGAGACCTTCACGATTCAAGGATTAAATATGAAAAATAATGAATTAACCTTGATTTGTGATTGGGTTTACTAATACTTTTATTTAGTAAAATTATTTAATAAAAACATTGTAGAACTTATTCAGTAAATAACATACCTCCAGTTGTGAAGAGAAGAGCCAACATAATGACTAGTTTCCAACACATCGTAGTAACGATAAACAATTTGCAAAATCTGAACTGGATTTAGGCCGACGATCAGACGGGCGACCACAAATTTTGGATCGGAATTTAATGATTCAACATGAACAACATCCATACTTATTCTTAATACTGCGTAGTCAGTAGTGACGTGTGTTATTTCACTCAGATATTTTCCCTACAAATTTCGGTTTTTGAGTTAAACCATTCGCTATTTGCGCGATCTAATAATCTAATTTAGGTTGAGTAGCATACGGGCATACCATCTGTAAGTTCAGAAATGTCGATTATTTCGGTTATATATGTCGGATTCCTAAGTCCACAGTATAAGATCACAACTTACTGGACACAGTATTTTACAGTGATCTATAACAAATAACTTATAACGGAGAGTTAACTGGTGGTGTGATCCTTCAGTCAGATATCCAACTCTTCGACTCTCTGGGTTCTGAGATCATAGTCATACCGCTCATTTGCTCAGAGTGGTGAGACTGAGTATATTAATATACTATAAGTATAGCTATATACATGTTATAGTATATATACTATATATAGTATATTAATAAATTATATAGTGGGTATATACTATGGGACAATTTGAAAAACTTAACTAAAGTATCATTTCATATAATTCGTAAAATTATACCTTCGTCCTTCTTACAGTTACTTTAAGATAGGGTTGCCATTATCGGTACAAAATTTTTTATCGCGATAATCGATAATTTTTTCAAAATTATCGCGATAATATCGGTTATCGGCGATTAATTTGGCAATATAATTGAAGTAATATTTGTATACACTCTGCATACTTGCATTATGCTCCTATGCTATGTTACATCTTGTGCTGATTGCTTTGTTAAAGAATCAATTGCAATATTGCCCTTTTATTTAACAAGCCCATATTTCATAGACAAAATATGTTCTTAAAGATAATTATTGCTTCTAGCAAAAAAAATTTCAAAGTCTGCTGCCTGTAAGCTGCCTGTTAGCTGTGAACAGACCTATCTCCCGTGCAAGGGTATCTGTCCTTGCTACCGTAGTCTGATAATTCTTTTGTCAGCGGGATAGGACTGGAATCTGGCATCTGAAATTGTGGGAGTCGTCTGTGAGTCCTGAGGACCAATCGTCGAACTACTTGCGAAGCTCAATCGCTGTTAGTCTCTTTCTGCTTAAACAACCGCTGGAGCAGAGACTTAGAGTTACGTATCAAGGTTGACTTTATGATCATTCTGTATTCTTGTCCTACATCTTCATCTAGAAAACCGGGGTCCGAATAGAACTTTACCAGCGATACGAAGTGAAGGTTCTTTCTCTTGGCATTATATGTGTACGTAGCCTATCAGACAGGCTTCGAGAAAATGGCGAGTCTATCTCAGATCTTTTCTAGCTTGGTGTCAATAAACTAAATAATCACTTTTGCTTGAGCAAGCATACTTCCTCTTTTACACAGAAACTCAGTTACAGTCTTGAACGGTGCGAGAGCTAACTCAGTCTCTTCTACATCCAGTTTTAGATTGCCTAGCTCCAAGTCATCTAAAATTCCGTGCACTGCATCACTCATCAGTTATCCGGTCATATCTCTCCAACATACTGCACAGCGAGCTCCAACGAGTTTTGTAGTCTCGTTGCAGTGTGAGTTCCTTTCTGTGCTTCAACAAACAACAATAACTACGTCTGACCATACAACCTCCAAGTTACCTACTAGATGCGGAAAAAACCATCACACTGCAAATTATGCTAGCACTGGGTTTTAACTTTACAAACAGAGAAATAGATTCGAAAAATATGTTAAATGTTGGCCATTTTACCCTAATAAAAATGTGTTGATTATCGCGATAATTCTCGAAAATTATCGCGATAATCGATAACGATTTTTGGGAAATTATCGCCGATAATTATCGGCCGATAATATCGGTTGGCAACCCTACTTTAAGAGGGGGGAGGGGGCGCGCCAACTACCAGTACCAATGTCCAATACCACTGATATGAATAGAAGGTATTTAATAATTATTCGAAATATGTTTCTCTTAATCTTATGCTTAACAATAGATAGAGTTGGCGCGTAAAATTTTGAGTGTATGAACTGATAAAAACCCCATAGAAAATCTTATCTCCAACGCCCTCTTTTAGCTGCATGCAGGATAAACAAAACTTTAGGTAGCTTTTGGAAAGGTACGTTTACAGTTTTAAAACGGTTGTATTTTCAATGTTCAAGTGCAAAGTGAGAGAAGCTAATTGTACAGGGCGCTAAAATCTTTCATGTTCCCTAAACAAAAACAGCTAAATATATAAATATTTATAAATGTTTGACACTTCTATGTCTTCACATAAGATTAGTATTAAACTGCAGTCCGTGGCAGTGCCCCTCCTTTAAATGAATTGAATAGCAGTCTTTGTTTCTACTCAGTTAACAGTTTTAATCTGATTTAATGCCACAAATCAAATTAATTTGTTCAATGTTCTCACAGAGATGCACAATAGCTGCTCTTTACCACAGACCGCCTAGACTTAGCCTCAAAGTTAACCTTCTCCTAGCTGTGTTTGAAGTATAACACAGCCGCCAGAGGTCTAAACTCTCACTACCGGGTTACTTGCACGGTCCCTCCACTGCTATATCTAAAGGTATTGATGTCTTCGTACGTTAAATTCCATTGTTCAACCAGCAGGATTGTTGAAATACATGTCGTGAAAGTGAAACCAGGTGGTCAGATATAAATTGACAAAGAGAGAAGATTTGCAACAGTTTAATAAATCTTGGACCACTATAATGAATCTTCAGTGTTAAATGAATGGATTAGTAGTATAGAACTAGTGCAACAGCAGGTGACTGACAGCAACGTACGGTTTATTCACACCTTCCGAACTAACTCCAAACCGAACAAAGGAGCTGCGAACTGTCAGATCCAAACCAGGTGAGGTTCTTTGTTCACAGGGCTCCGCGTTACCCTGTTTCTAGTGCTTAAAAGTGGCACGCCTCATCTGGAGCACATCACTTCCGAGACCCTACAAGATGATTTGGATTGCTGTAACTTTGCTGAGTGTAGCCTGTGCTGCACCCACCGACCAAGAGAGTGTGAGAATCAGCTTCAGCCAGAAAGCTCTAGACTATGGAGAGGATATAGCTTTCTACATGATCGACATCCTTCAGAAGGTAGCAGTTGACAAACTCAGCCTGCCAAACATCAGCCAGGACCAGTTCCGTGCCACCAACCTGAAGTTCGGAGCTCTGGACCTCGGCAAACCTGAGATCAGCATCGTCCCCAATGTGGGTCTGAAGTGGAGGAACGGAAACGCCAAGATCCAGGTGACAGGAGGATGGGCTGCTAAAGCTGGGTGGTGGTGGACCTCTGGTGATATGACCCTGGATGCTACCTTGGCTGTGGAGGCTACTGCAGGAATCACTGCTAGTAATGGAAAGCTAGTCACAGCTCCCAAAGGATGCAGTGTTCACTATCACAGCTTCAACCTGGATCTGCACAACTCTTTCTTCTCCTGGGTGGTTAGCTTGTTCGAGAGCTACATCACCCCTGAGATCACCAGCGCAGTCTGCGATGAGATTAACAAACTCCTGAGAACCACTGTGAACGGAGTTATCGCCTCCCTCCCCCATGACATACCTGTTGCTGATATCATGGATGTTGAGATTGAAGCTGACTCTAACCCAGTCTTCTCTTCCTCTGGGTTCGACATCTCTGCCCGAGTAATCGCTGATCAACAAGGATCTGACGTTGTGTTCCCCTTCTCCCCAGAACCCATTGTGAGCCAGATGGACACCAGTCTCATGGTCTGCCTCCTCGTCTCTGACTACACTCTCAACACCGCCAGCTACGTCGCCCTCGCAGCTGGACAGCTCAAAGAATCAGTTCCCAGCGCCCTCCTTAACGCTTCCAACCCTGTTATGAACACCGCCTACTTCAAGACCTCTATCCCAGAGTTCTACACCGCCTACCCAGACGCAGCTATCACCTACAGTGTGGTCAACACCAGGTACCCCCGAGCTGAGTTCGACCACGACAACATCATCCTGGACATGCCAGTGGAGCTGAGTGTACAGGTAGCGGGAGCTGATGTACTGACTCTGGCTCTCTCCCTGACTGTCGAGGGAAACATGCAGCACAACAACAACGTGTTATCTGGTCAGGCCACCTCAGCTACTCACACCTCCTCAATCAAGTCCTCCCATATTGGAAACATCAATGTGGATGATATCGAGGGAGTGATTGATGATATCCTGAACAACACAGTCCTGCCTAAGATTAACGCTGTGATTGTGAAGGGTGTTACTCTGCCCATTGACCAGTATGTTAGCCTCAACAAGGGAGTGCTGGAGGCGCATGATGACTTTGTGAAGGTGTGTGCTGACGCTACTCTAACTGACTTCAGTTTACAGGAGCTGAAGAAGATTGCGGAGGATATCCTCATCTAATCTGATAATGTACAAGATGTTTAGTGAATGATGAGAGGTTGTTTTTCTTTGAAGAAGTTTTAAGTTCTTGAGTTGAACTCCAAGTAAAACAAGTTCTTTTGGCAGTGAGAAATTCACTTATCGATATGGGAACTGGTATACAAATAACAATTGAAAATAAACAACTGATATTATTTTAGCACTGTTATCCTTCCCGCCGTGGCACAGATCAAATAACATATGCAGTTCTGAAATTAAAAAGTTAAAAAACCGAAAAAACTTGAGGGCAAGTGAGTCGTGCGAGAATCAAGGGCACCCCGATGGAACGTAACAAATTGTGGGTTAATAATCATGAGCAAACATCTTTAGTACTAATTATCAATTAGCCCTTTTATCCTAAACAATCAATCAATTAAGGTACAATTATGGGCACACATCACACGAACATTTATAAGCGTTAATAAAATCAATCAAATCCCGGCACACGCTAAATTAGCATTAGTTAACAGGAATAAGTATCCCACCTGACATGATCACTAATTGATTAATTAATTAATTAACTATGTCTCATTACGAGTAAGAAATCTTCCATAAAACTAAAAAAACCAATCTCCTCCTCCTTAATCCTACATTTCAGGCCTAAAATCCCCGACTAATTTTCCTAATTAAAGTTATTAAGCTGCAAGAAATGAAGAGTTACATCAACGTTAATAATAAATATCAATTACATACCATCAAAACATTATATCAAGACATCACGGTGTTACAACCCATTATTGAGCCGCGCAATCGTCACGTGTCACAACCCATTATTGAGCCGCGCAATCGTCACGTGTCACAACCGCGTGGCAAAGCGTAAGTGTGCTTTTAAAATTCTAGTTTAAAGCATCTGAGCTGATGTACTATAGTAAAGCTTACTTACGCAACGACTGTGTCCCAACAATAGGTGGTAGCACTTTAAAACTGTTATTAGGATGTAACATTGCAACGCCCTCCGTATAGCATGGCTTTAAGTTATAATAGTAATACTACTGGTTTTAATATAAAATAATAACATTCCTTTTTCTCATTTTTCAATAAGAATACTTGCCATTATACATTACAATATATAGCTTTTTTTTACAATTTTCCAATTCTATAAAACGTAAAATTTAGATCATGTTTTTATATCGTTTTTAGTGTTCGCAAGGCAATGTATCACGTTTGTCCTTGACGAGAATTTTGTGCCGTCACTTGGCACCTATCATTCGCATTCGCCTGTTGTGGGGACTTATTCCTACCATTCAACACTCAACAGTTGAACAAGTTCTATAACTCAGGGCTAGATCCTGAAGTCAAAGTAATGAGACAGCATGCAAGTATCACAATTACAGGACACAACATTATACTCGTAACAATCGAATAGGGCGAATAATCCAAGGTTTCTTTTCTAACCCCCACTATCAGCCCAAACAAGGTCCTTTAAAATCTCCAATGATCCATCAGACACGCATCCTTTTATCAATCATAAGTCCTTCAATTACTCGGCTTCTGAAGCTTGCTCTGCTCCTCTTTAAGTGCTGTTAGGTAACCGTCTCCTCCCGTGGAGGTTCTCTATCCTTATCTGAAGACCGTTCTCGTACTTCAACAGGATGTGCCTGTCATTCTCCGACTTTACCTCGGACAGGAGGCCCAGAATAATTGCTAGACTCAGTCGGTACCTCTTTACACACTCACCCACGTGACCGTACGTTTCGTCTAGTATTCCTGATCTTATCTGAGAAAGGAATGTTGTGGTTAGTTTTCTGATAGATACGTGTTTGTGCACAGTAGAGTAGCAATGGCTTGTGTTCGAAATTGATAGGTTCGCACAGTTGTGACAACTGAATGAAAACTGGTAAAAAGTGAGACTGGTACCAGTGTTACCTGTTCGAAGGCGAATGAGAGTAATATCTCCTCAGGACAGTGTGGGTTTTCCTCAGTGTTTGGAGGCAGGGCAGATATCTCCTTCTCCAAACAGCACTTCATGGTGTGGACCGCACAGAACTCGCCGTATACGGAGTACAAGGTCTGGGAGACAGTATTGGATATTAAGAATATTACAGGGTCTAGAAATGAGTTGTCCTATGTCAAACACTAGGTTTTGTTTTTAAGCTAAGGCGCCGGCGGAGAAAGGTTTTACGGATTTATTCTACTGTTATCATGGAATTAACGAAAAAACAATTTCGGGGCATCGGTGCAATTCTCTAATTTTAAAACATTACAAAGCGTGAAAGTTTAAAATTTATAAATCGGGACTTAATCGATTTTATAAAATCTCACCTCTTTGAAAGTTTTGGAAGGAGAAATCGTCTTTGCGAATAGTTGTTGCTTTGCTTGGTGTATATTAGCCGAAAGCATAGTTTCAGACTTTTCGCATAATATCAACTTCTGCTGTAACCTGACATATTTCTCTGTTAGAAACATCTAAAATAAACTTGTTGTAAACTGGGGAACTCACCGTTAGGATAATGCCAATAATATGGTCAGAATACGTGATTATCTGTACCTCAAACTGTCGGTAAATCAAAGAAATCTCAAACTTTACCAGGCATGACAAAAATTCACAACTTGTGACCATGACTTACTGCTTCTAATTCCATGAAAAAGGTGTACCCTCCATTTTTTCATAACATTCGTCACGAAATTGTTTATTCGATTTGGGTGACGGTTGCCCAAAAACGAAATTTTAGAGATTCCGCACAAATTTCAAGAAATATTCAAGAAATATTCAAGAAATATTCAAGAAATATTCTGAGAATACTCCTCTCTAGTAGATCAGTACGTTCAAAATGGAAACCCACGTGACAGTCACGTGTCAAGTACCACATGAGCATATAGCACGTGATAAAATTATCATTCAGGATATAATAATTAGCAAAATAACGCTTAATCTAATCCACCGTAAAGACCTAGATAAGACAGTGCCCCCAGTACGTGCCCGCGGCCGCCCTCAATTACTTAGCGGACGTGATATTTGAAGGTCACTATTTCATTTTGTTCTGACTGTTTCTGGGATGATATCGCTTTTTGTGCTCATTGGGTTCCTTTGGCTGGGTGAGAGCACGAACATGAACAATGCAACTGTTCAAGGACAGGATGGAGACATTACCATTTGTCACGGTAGGTAAAATTTCTAATTTCAACTTAAATCATTTTAACTTCTACTATGTATGATTACGAAATTGCAAACAAACTGAAAATTCAATCCAGTAGGATGATCTGATCGGTATTCACATCAAATAAGATTGGACAGATGAACGCAAACAAAAGCCCCGTATTTTGCAGGGTTCAGAGAACTGGAGCTGATATTTGCTGACGACTGTAAGGAGCAAAGTAGAGTTCCACTCTCTGAAGCACTGCTAGAACTATCTGATCTCCTTCTCACAGACGGAATGGCTCCTCGACGACGGAGGAACACCTCTACTTACTGCTACTGGTACTGCTTTGTAACTAGATCCGGGAAAAGGAAATGTGTTCGGAAATGTGTCGATGAAAACGATGACACTTAAATTAGGACGTAAAGCATGACTTATTGATTTAGGAGATGATGCCAATTCGATGTTTTAAATTATTTCTAGATTTTTAGATTTTATGTTAATGCATTTACGACAGTTCGGTATTTGTTTAGAATATAAAGAAAATGCAATAAATTTACAAGCCAAAAGGTATAATCATTTATTAATAACGAAATAAATTGATTATCAGAAAATTAAAAGCTATTCAAACGGTACCGCGACAATTGACCCCCCGACAATTGACCCCCCGACAATTGACCCCCCGACAATTGACCCCCCGACAATTGACCCCCCGACAATTGACCCCTATGTAATTACACTGGGGTCAATTGTCGCGAAATCTAGGGTTTAGTACGACAATTGACCCCCCGACAATTGACCCCCCATGTAATTACACTGGGGTCAATTGATCGGGTTAGGGTCAGGATCCTGGGTCAGGGTTAGGGTTAGGGTCCTGGGTCAGGGTTAGGGTTAGGGTTAGGGTTAGGGTCAGAGTCCTGGGTCAGGGTCAGGGTTAGGGTTAGGGTCAGGGTCAGGGTCAGGGTCAGGGTTAGGGTTAGGGTTAGGGTTAGGGTTAGGGTTAGGGTTAGGGTTAGGGTTAGGGTTAGGGTTAGGGTTAGGGTTAGGGTTAGGGTTAGGGTCAGGGTCAGGGTCAATTGTATTAAATTATATTGTCGGGGGGTCAATTGTCGGGGGGTCAATTGTCGGGGGGTCAATTGTCGGGGGGTCAATTGTCGCCCACCCATTCAAACACATTAATAAGAACTCACTTTATTTTGTCCTTGAAGTCTGTAGGTGAGAAGGGTTTGTCGAGTAAGTTGGCAGCCTCTCTGATAGCTTGAGTGTACTGTAACGTCGCTTGGAAATCGTCCAGCATTTCTCGCTGGTGCTCCTGCGACAAACAAACTTAATCAGAAAGAAATTTTAATTTGAGTAGGGTAACTTATGGAAAATGTGTTATTTGATATATAGACTGGGAAAATCAGGCACAAAAAACATACACGTCAAAATTTGACTAACGTCCATTATAGTAGTTTCTGAAAGTTCAGGGGGTGTTTCGAAGGGCTGTGAGAAGGGCGGGCTGGTTTCGCCCATAGTGAGCTGAAGAGGAGAGTTCTCGCGCAGTGACGGGGGACTGTTATAAGGAGATCCCCCTAGGAAGAAGTAGGCTGGAGCACTCTGCCCGGAGCTAACCCTACTGGCAGACAGAGGTCTGGGCTGGTAGAACGAGTCCTCAAAGTTAGTTGAGAAGGGTCTGCGAGTGGGGCTCTGTCGCACTGACCGGGAAACAAGCTCCATCCTGGGCGGGGTCGAGTTACGAGTGGACTCTGAGGTGGACCTGTGTCTCTTGTGGCCGTCCACTGACATGGCTTTCTTCTGGAAGAAGTTAGGGGCAGAAATATTCCTGCTTCCTGAGGACAACCTGCGAGGAGCGTCTCTCATATTATAATGAGGAGTTTCCAGGATTTTGTCTTCTTCCAGTTTCTGAGCGATGGGAGACTGCCTGCTGCGAGGCGAGGGTGAAATGTCTGCTAGGTGTTCTTGTGAGTAGGTGTGTTTGATTGGGGTGGCCATGGCCGTAGTTTTCACTGAGGATGAGATTGCTTGCGATTTTTGCATGAAGGAGGATTCTATTGATTTTAGTTTGGAGGGAGTTGTTTTAGTCTGAGTGTTTACTAAGATGAAACCTTCGCTGTCTACATCTGGTGATCCAAACACGTCTTCAGATACCCCTGGAACTGAAAAACGTTCTGTCAAATCATTGCAGTCATTCTGTCATTTGCTTGGAAAATATTATCATATCTGTGGGATCAATTTTCTCTAAGAAGTTTTCAAATACAGCCCACTATTGCACAGTAAGATGACCTATACTCAATATTATAGTAGTAAATAGTGTAGTAGCTAGTAGATGTAACTAATACCAGTATGAGGCGTTCTGATAGGTATCTCAACAGCTGGTCTGGGTGGGGTCGTGTTACGTCTCATCCTCTGCATGGAGGCAAGTTTATTAGAGGAGATACTGTTAGGACTACGGGAGGTGGGGTGGGAGGGCGAGGAGCTGGGGGACGCCCTGGGGCTCCGGCTGGAAACCGGAATAACATTACTTGGCTGACCGGGGTCCAGGAATCTGTGCTTCACGAGGTCCTCTGAAATGAAACGAAAATTAATGTATCATGTTCGTGTATCGTACATTTGTATTGTCAGGGAGACCCGTAGCACAGAATCTTCTGTTTTGATTCAGATTGAGATCTATAAATAGACGGGTATTGACGGAAATCTTCTTTGAAACTGACGCGCGCAGAACGGCGCGCAATATCACATGATGTCTCTTGCAAATTTAAGCGTTAGTGATGCAAATTTGAACTAGTCGCGAAGCGCAACTTGCAAATATGTCCCGCATAGTTTGGCAAGCGCCTGAAAATAATTTGCAAACAATAACACTCTCTCCGATCACATACACAGTATACAGTACCACATGATACAGTACCACATGATATAGTACCGAACACAATGCCTCAACTTACCGAAAGTTAGCCTTTTGCTGGGATCCTTTTGAAGGAGCGAGAGTATGAGATCGGTGAGTGACGGAGAAGTCTGTTTAGGAATCCTGAAATAACATTTAATTCACAGGTGCCTCATGGTAACTCAATTATTATGAAATGCCTGATCATTTCACGGTAAATCATTAGCTTTATGTACACGCCCGTGGGCGTGTGCGATAGTTAAATGAATTAATATATTCACATAATATAATGGTCCCATGTGAATGGTAATGTCTTTACAACAGCTAACTTTCTACCACGCGATGGGCACTGTATTGTTCGACTGCGATTAACATCGATAGGAACATTAGAAGAGGAATAATGAAGAACAGTAACTTGTAGGAACAAACAGCTCGATTATCTGGCAAACTATCAAAACATCGCACTCAGCTTGGTCTGGTTGCGTTTGGAACATTGCCAGGTTTTTATTGAGAGCTATATTTATACCCTAATTGTCGACTGGTGTTGACGTTTTGAAAACGTCCACTTTTCTTGCTATGTTTGGTAATTTTCTCAAGCATTGATACAGCTACAAGTCTACAACAAACGGTATCTTGTCTGCTGGAGATATTTTGGAAGATTTCCTTAAATGGTATAGTCCAGTCTGGTGCCGGTTTGTTAAACCTTATTCCTGTGATCCTACAGTTGTCACTAAGTCACTAATCACACAGTAACATTGCCAGTTACGCAGTACAGATGTTATTGAGGGGCTGCTTCAAACTAGTGTGTTAAAAGTAGCCTAACAAATGAGTGGAGACAGCAAGTTGGGGAGAAGTGAACAAACTGACTTTTAGACCGCATGTTGCATGTTGCTTATGTCAGGGCTACAGAGATCACACTCGCCAATTGACACGGCTAATGTTTTAATTTGAGAAATGAAATCCTAGGAATCTTTGAGCTCCGTTAAAATTCCAGGACATTTTGGAAATTAATAGGTCCTGGAATTAAATACTTTATATAAATAATCTGTATACTAACGCTAGTTAAAACTTTGGTTATGTTCAGACTACAGTATTTCGGTGAAGACTGTTAGTCCATTATTTTAAGTAGACTCACGCTGGGACAAGTTCAGGAGACTTCTCGTAGAAGTTACGGAGCGAGTAAGGGTTGTTAGCTTTAAAGGGAGCTTTACCGGTCAAACACTGGTAAATTATAGTTCCCAAACTCCACAAGTCAACCCTTCCGTCGTACTGCAACCCCATTAGCACCTCCGGGGCCTGGGATAAGTGATCACTAATTATCCTGTAATTATATAATTACTGTTTAATTACATGATTACCGGTGATTACCAACAACAAAATGTCTCAAGTCTCAACTTTAAAATATGCTCTAAAAGCTGCAAATGATTTCCTAAAATTCAGCCGTACGAGGTAGGTAATATTAGCATACTTATAGTATCAGTGCATACAGTGCACAGCAGGTACAGTACTGATAATGGTACAAACCAGCTCTGATACCTGATTGGCTGTAACGCACAGTATTTAACACTACCCCCAGAACATTCCAGCACTACAAGATAAGAGGTATAAAGCCAGGCTCTCCCTCACTCTCTCCAGCTTATTAACCATTTCAATATCTTAATATGGGTATTTAGTAAGGCAATCTTTTTGTTAGACAGCCTCAAGGCCTCCCCCACTCATCATTAAATACCATGGCGCCTGTTTTATAAACAGTTCCATAATAAGTAATAACACAGCAGCTACTGCTGCAGGTGTGTGATAGTAGCACAATATTAATTGTCAAGCAGCACAATGTTTACTGCTCCCTACTACTGCTACTAGCAGCTCTCCTCGAATAGCAGCCGCCAGCAACTCTACAACAGTATCACAATATTGCAAGTATTTGTGTATTGGAATGCACTGGATACGAGGCAGAATGCAGTGAAATACTCGGAAAGGTAGTAGAAATTAAAGGTATGCACTGCTCATTGTAAAGGGAGGCTATAAATAGAATCGTAACAGAGATGAGATATTTAGAGGAGAATATAGTTGTGTCTCTCCTGACAATGTTATTGACGGCATATCGCACTGTTACCAACACCGCTGACTGGTAAAGTATTTGCACGAGGTAATCATTAAAGAGTTGGTAATGAGATTTATAAGATAACTTTGGAACTAAATTGTACGAAAAGGTTTCTTTGAGCAATGAAGAAGGGGCAAGAATCAAAGAGAAGTCCTCGAAAAGAATAGAAAAAGAGTAACCATGGTAACCACTAACCATGGTACCTATATGGTTACCATGGTAGTTATGGTTAACAAGGGAAATATGATAACTTACCATGTATATTGGGCTACCACAGAGAGTTGCTGCCATATCCTCATCGTTCAGAAAACGGGCGAATCCAAAGTCTGCTATCTTCAACTGAAATAAAGGAACTAATTAAGGAACTCATTAAGGAACACTCGAGAAACTTCCATGGTAAAGTGGTTCATTAAAATGAACAACTTAAATACTTCCCATTACTTAGAATCCTGTAAATATAATTCTAAAACCACCTGTATTACATTCCCACTCTCTCCGTCCCTTGTATTCACAACATATTATAATATATTATGTACTGTATGTAACGTTTCCGGCGCCAGCCGTGTAAACTACAAAATTGCAATATTTGGAGCGCACGTACAGCACTGTGGTCATAAATTCATCAAATTCTTGCATATTCTGCAGCAGATAGCAGGCAATACTGCGAGATGCATGCCACACATGTTTTATACTTTTAGAGAGAGAAACACTCTTCAGAACTTGCAGTGATAGACCATCTCCCTGGTGAGCTCAGCATGAGAAAACTTCTGTGACGCAATAGGAATTTTCTAAACCAGCTTGGAGAATAACAGAGATGTTTAAAGTTTGCCGTTAGAAGTCAATAGGACAGCTAGAATGTTCCAAGTACTGCAAATATATGTTCTGATAAATCTTTTAAATTAAGTTTTAAACAAAGTCTGTTGAGTGTTGAATCGTACTAAAATTGATATCAATGATTAATCATCGGCTGTAATAACCGACATTCTCTCATGATCAGTGTGTAACTGTCCATAATGTAAAAGTTGTTATCTCACTCTTGTTTACGCTAATATAATGCATTAAATAGGGGTGCAATAACTGGGAGGGAGATAACTATTGTTATCTCCCTGGTACTACATTTAGGCTGTGATTAACAGGTAAATAGGAGGGATGTAACTATTGTTATCTCCCTGGTCCATCCTTAGTCGCTGAGATGTTGCTAATTATTTTAAAAACAGAAAGTGGTATAACTTATGTTCTGATAAATATTTTTGCTTCAAAATTTTACAGAATGTCAATAACATTGACAGGTAGCGTAGTTGGTTGATCATCGGATTTGTAATCGTAAGATTGCGAGTTCGAATCCCACTGCCTGCCTAGTCGTGGGGTGAGCGTCGTTGACGCTCTGCTAAGGATCCCGAGTGGTCTATGTAGCCCCACGGTTCACTCAGCCGAATGCTCGAGAAATCGGGTGTGAGGGTTAAATGAGGAGCTGTGCTTGATCAACACAGCGAAGCCTCGGGCGAAGAAAGTGTGGCATAGTGCCTTAACCGTTGCTGGCCTTAGGAACGATCCTTCGGCTTCTTGTAAAGCTCTTCCTTGAAAGTGCTGGTTTACATTGTAATGCAGGTAATGCCGAAGTAAAATAACAAAGGTGGTCGACTCATTCGATGGCCTTGTTGCGTCGCAACGAATCCTCATAAGATAAGATAAGATAAGATAACAAGTAGTCAACCATTTGTGGCAAGTTTTGTGTGAGTGTGAGCTTCACTGAGCTTATTTGACCAATTTAAAATAATTAGCAACATCTCAGCGACCTGTAACAATTTTAAGAGATAAGGATGTGTCCTCTAGAAAGTTTGACTCTGGAATGTTATATGTAGTAATATTATCGGTCGTTAATTTCCGATGTAAATGCTGCATTCGCTAACATCATTTCGTAGATCATCAGAGAATGCATTTACATCACTGCTTATAATATGATAACATGAGTTATATCCCTCGGTCAAACCTCGGGATATAACTCGTTTTATCCAACTCGTCAAACTCGTTGGATAAAACTATTTTCACAACTCAAAGTTGTGAAAATAATGTTATCACATTATAAGCAGTGATGTAACTGCTTATTACATTACAAAATAATGAAATTAAATAATGTCTACATGTTTGAACAGAATTTGGCTGATCACTTTCTTAGACATGGCCGTGTAGCTCAGCTGGTTAGAGCGTCGTGCTAATAACGCGAATGTCCAGGGTTCGATCCCCTGCATGGCCAGGTTATTTTTAGCTCTCGAAATTATTTCAAGAACTATTTTACTCATAATCGGTGTCATATTTCCTTATTTGGTTATAATATTGTTCATACCCGACCTAATATTTAAGTTCATATCTTGGGATGTTAATAGACTAAAAAAGTGAAGAATAAACTTCGTATCTACATTCTACAATAACCCATTTTATGTGCGTGACTAGGAGAAGCTGATGCCCGGGAATTAGCAGTGATACATACGAGATACTGTGGTAATTGACTGTAGAAACTAATGTTCTAGAATGTTCTCATTGTTCTTGAGACTAGAATGTTCCATGGTGGTCGAGCACTGTATTGTCAGGTCTGTAACTTGTCTCTCTTAATGAGCCCCATGAGGGAGGAGCCCCCGGGGGCGGGCGGTTAGTATTACACTGAAATCATAACTCATGATGTAATGTTAACATATATAATATACACATGATATTGGGATTATTTACCTTGTACACACTGAACCATGTGAAGATTTCTGTATTGACCTGATTGAGTAAATACCCAGACAGATGTAGTACTACACATTAAACATTAGTATTATTTAACACATGAAACATCAGTAACAGATCACAGAGACAGTAGCTAATGACAGGGAGGCAAGTAACAGGTACTCTTATACATTATAACGTCACGTGGTAATTTCACGTGGTAATGACACGTGGTAATGTCACGTGGTAATGTCACGTGTCAAAACAAACTGTCGGAGTGGTGAACACTTCAAGTAATGACAGGTAATCTAGCTATAATCACTGTGTCAAAACAATACTTTTTAGAGTGTTGAACGTACTTCAGCTTCTAGACTTTGAGATAGCTTCAAAGCCAGCTAGTTAACTAGCAGATATCGATCGTTGACTTAAGAAACCAGGGAATCAATTTTGAATTTTACCTTCCTAACATTAAATCGTTGATTTTATTTATATATCACTTTCTTTTTTTTTCCAAAACATTCCAGTACAATGTGCAGAAAGTTGGAGATTACAAATTTTGGAAGCATGTAGTAGGGATTTAGACCTGATATCGATCGTAAATACTAAAAATACTCTAGCACAGCACAATTGTAACTGCAGTTTTACAGAACTCTAAATGCTTAATGAACACACTTACACACTCAGAACTGAGTTTAGTCATTTTCCGATACGAGATTGGGAAGGGTTCTATAAACAAACAACTGGCAGATTACAAACGCTTACAGAAGGTCAATTTGAGGCAGTTGTAACTTCTACAGCTCATTGGAGACAGTACTAGATTATTCCTTATTATCTAACAAAACTTTAGGATCGTTGATGTGCACTATTAAGGATATCAAGAATCGAATATTCCTTGGTAATGTTGCCTTTAGTAAATTTCAGAAAGTTTGGATGAAGAGCAAGATTTCAGTCCGAAGGAAGATCAAAATCTACGAGGCACAAGTAGTCTCTATTCTACTCTACAACTGCAACTCCTGGGCTGCACCACTAGCTTCGTTGAATGAACTTGATATTGCTCATCGCAAACACCTCCGAAGAATCCTCAACATCAGATGGCCTACTGGGGTTATTTCTAATGAGGCACTCTATGCTCGTTGTTATGTCACTCCCTTGTCTGTGAGAGTCTCTAAGTTTCGATGGAGAATGTTAGGACACATCTTAAGAGGACAGGAAGACTCACCAGCATACACCTCTATGTTATTTGCTATAAATTCTGATATTTTTATGGAAGGGAGACGGGGTAGACCATGTTTAAACTTATTAGATGTTATTAGAAAAGACTTGACTAGTAGAAATCTTGATATTAGACTTAAGAATTTGACTGATTTCGAAGACCTTAGATTTTTAGCTTTAGATAGGGAGGAGTGGAAGAAGTTAGAAGATGGTTGATGTTTTTGTTTTCTTTTCTATGCGTTTTGATATCTATAAGGTGCCTAGGATGCTCTTTTAAAGAGATATTTCGTACTTTGAAAGATTTACTACTACTATCTAGTATTGAGAGTCAGTACAGAGAGCATTATTATCCTCATAACCTGTTGTAAAAGTGTAAAGCAGCACTTCAAATACAGCTCACAGTGAGCCATTATTAGTCTTGAAGTGACTGTGACTACTGACTGGTAGTGGTGACTGTGACTGGTGACTGTGACTGGTGACTACTGACTGGTGACTACTGACTGGTGACTGGTGACTACTGACTGGTGACTGTTGTCCCAATCACTGACGTTACAGACATCACTTAGTGAGACTTTGTTGCCGTGAAACAGATGCAGTATATATAATAGTAAGTTGTGTGAACGGCATCACAGAGTTATCATTACAGTCTTTGATCTTGAGATGAATGGTGGGAATATTCTGTACTTTCTTGATGACTGAGTATACAATGTACAGGAAGGAGTAGTTAAAATACAGACTGTGTACCTATAGTCTACGATTAAGGTCTACGTTTAAGGTTTACATAATATCCACTGTACAATACAGGAAACGATACAATCATGCTCTGTATTAACATGTGTTTAACAGCAAAACAGTAAAACACGTACATGTTTATTGAATTACGTAGGTGACAGAAATATCAGGTTATACAATTACACTCACATACGGGCTCAAGAAAAATGATTTTATTTGCATGTAATAAAAAAAGTGTTGATTGATATAATATTATGTAATTTAATTAGTTTCTGCATGGTTTCCCAAAAAAGTGCTAAACTGCAGACAAGCAGGAGCATTATATTTCAATATAATAATAATATATGTAATATGTATAATAATATATAATGGTGTTAGTTGGGAGTTAGTCAAGAGACCAGTAATAGCATAGTAGGAGCGTAGAATGTTTGGGCCCAGAAAAACATGTTTAATACCGCTATGAACCCGTCATAAGCCGGGGACTACTATGAAAATGATGATGCTGTGTTGTTGAAAGACCTTCGACCAATCAAAGATGTACCTCATCACGCCAAGCAGTTATGCTTGTAGGTGAATATACACTTATAGAGTACAACAACTTTATAACACTCCTATAAGGGAAAAACACATGTTTACCACGTGCCCGTGCCCACTGCCTCATAAACATGTTGGTTAATGAACAGTCGCACGGTGTTTTCTTAGCTAACTGATGATTGGTTCCCACAGTTCTTAGACCCATAACAAATAACAGTAGTATAGAAACCTGATATAGGGTTCACTGAGCATGTACATTGTACTACAATAGTCAATACCAGCGGGGGGGGGGGGGGGTTACAGAAGTGTAGTTACCTTGATGTCCCGAGGCTGGGGGGGGGGGGGGGGGGGGGGTAAAGTAGTGTAGTTGGGGGGGGGGGGGGGTTACAGAAGTGTAGTTACCTTGATGTCCCGAGGCTGGGGGGGGGGGGGGTAAAGTAGTGTAGTTGGGGGGGGGGGGGACAGTAGTGTAGTTACCTTGATGTCACGAGGCTGGATGAGGCTGAGAGAAGAGGAGTGAGTTAGAAGAATGTTCCCTGGTTTCAGATCCCTGTGCATCACACCCATCTTGTGGATAGCCAGCATAGCATCACCTGACAAACACATAGGTTAAAACAATACCATTAAGAGTACAATAACCGGGTAATTAAGAAATGGTTCTCGATTCTATGTACAAAAGCACTTAATTGTTATCGTATTGTAAGAATTAACAGATGATTTTACCGTCTTCGTTTGACTAAGAAGAAGTAAGAATGTACGTAACGAATGTTTTCTACGGAAGATATGTTTTGACGGATCGCACGTCCATTATCATGTGTAAAGACTAAAGGGTTACGTGAATAAAAATGAAATTCCTAGCCTCTCACTAAAATAATTGAACAGCTGTCTGTAACAATCCTGGAGTATTCCAGTGTGAATAGACAGGGCACTAATTGGGAATGCTCTAGCTTTGGTACATTATCATGTACAATGTGATTATGATCACATTGGATTGTGACATTTTGATTAATTAAATTGAAGTATTATCTTCACTTCGTTTGAAGTTATTTTATTAACAAGTTGCTCATTGAGTGAGAGCCTGGCAATCTTACTTAGGCTAGGATTCACGTGAGTCATTACAGAGGATTTTTATTTACCAATGAGTTAGTTTAGAGCTAGATAATTTGCCCAATTTTCTTTACTAAGTTGAGGCAATAATCAGTTAGATCGATAATTTATCGTAGGCATGTTAATATCATAACGTTTGATGATTCATTGTAATTCTAAAATAAGACTCTAGTACTAAAGATAAGACTAATAACTTGAGCTAAATTACTCTTAACAGCAATATATATGCAGTCATGACTTTAAGTTTAAGGTACAACAATAATTATGCTGCATAATAATTAATATTTACATCTCGGTAAATGATATGTTACAATGTTACATACAGGTTTAACTTGTTTTGCTCTAAAGCTCTAACGCTTGATTTGGAATTTCGGGTAATAATATAATACTCGAAACATTGCGAGTCTACATATCATCAGTAACAGAGAGAGAGCGAGGCGTAAAGCGTACAATTTTATTGGTCTAGCCAGTAACGTCTAATAACACAGTGGTTACAGAGTGACCATTGAACAATCATGGATGAGTTATTGAGATATTGTTACTCATAAGCGGAGTAGTCTCCACAATGCTGATCAGTTTCACTTCATTAATCAGCTCCTTGTGAAGGGACTATTAATAGGCCCACTTTTGTGTCTCCAATACTACCACCCACACAATCTCTGATTTAGTGTAAGAGAGATATTCATATTGGGGTGAAAATACCTCTGTAACAATGATGTGGAGTATAGAGTATATTGTGTATCTACTAAATACAGTATTACAGATTAAAATACTATATAAAGCAGTAAACTGTAAAAATAGATCTGATCTCCTGATACATCACCTAATTAGCAACATACTTTTAATCAACATTTAGTCGTATCTTCCTACATTTCCTGTTAAATTATAACTGCAAGAAATCAGATCTATTTATAGAAACTAAATATCTTGATAATTATATAATGACTTTGATGAGTCACAGCTATTAATGAGATTACCCAGATTTAAAAAAATCGGATGACTCAGGTCTTTTCCAAAAACATCAGTTTCTCGTGCAAGATAAAATATTACTAAATACTACCACAGCCACTTTTGTGTTTTAAATACACTTAGTATACACAATATCGCTTACTCTTAAGTTATATAAGAAACTAGAAAGGTGGGGAGATCAAATGAAAGGTTGAGAGTATTAAAATTATTTAGATTTACATAATCATTTACATAAATTACATAATTATTTACATAATATACACTACCGCGACCGTTTACATTGATAATTGTGTCGAGCTGAACTAGATAACTTAGTAACAGTAATAACAGTTAGCAGAGAAACTAGATATTATCCAGTTATTGTACTCCTTGATAAATATTTACACGAATGTTCCTAGGCGTCTCCTGTTAAATGGCAGCTTTTAAAGATTGTGATCAAACTTAGGCGACCTATCACATATCCACCATATGTAATGACTTGTAATATAGTGTACATGGTTTGCAGCTGGGAGTACTGATTAGTTGTTAATAACTTATTAAACAGGCAAGATCTGAGTCTCTTTCTATGACTTTAACATTACAAGGTGGACTTTAAACTCCTTCCAAAGAACGACTGACACGGTGTCTGTACGATCAAATACGGTAGGTAGGCGTGCCTGAAGACGACTAGTTAGTCTGAGTAGCAGCTAATACTGTTAACTATTTTCTGCAGATAAGAGCCGGTTATTAGACCCAGACCCCAGGAAGTAAGTACAGGCGTTCTTACTCCTACCTCTGATACAGACCATAAAGCTAGTTGGTAGTAGTGTTAGCAGTGGCTAGTTACCAGTAATAACTAGAGTAGTAACCAGTAGTAACTAGTAGTTACCAGTAGTAACCAGTAGTAACAAGCTACTTAGTAGTAGTGTTGGCCGTGGCTATTCCAACTAGTTTGATATGACAATCAGACCACTACGTACTTCTTGCTTAATTTAACTCAATGATATCATGGTTCTTATCTAGGCGGGATTTGCTGGTTCTTATCTAGACGGGATTTGCTGGTTCTTATCTAGGGATATAAATAACTAAATAAACTGCACTAATAATATTAGTTAAACGCTTCGACATTGAAGATGTACATCTAAGTCATTCAAGCGAGATTTGGTATGGAAATAAAATCAGTTCCGATTTTATATTGGATTTTATTATGGACAAATATCAAAAGTTAGGTGGAAATAAAATGTTTTTAGGGAACTTTTAAAACATCCTATATTCGATAATGCTCTAACTGAATAGGGTAGTTCATTTCAAATTTGTGCTCCACCAAATACAGCATCTGTATGTCTAAAATGTGTTGCAGGAGGAACTTTCAGTAGATAAAAGACATCACAACTATTTATAGCAATTTCATGGCGGTAAACACCCGGGCATCGTCAATTCTTCCCATCATGCCAATATTAATGATCAGATATTATCAATCTCTAAACGGCAAGCTTCCCAACCAGTCATACGTCAGTGTTGCATCTAATGTAGGCTTCTAAAACTTGGTTAACAAGCTATTCAATAGTTGACATTAACTCAACCGTTTATATCAAAATTCCAATGCAATGGAAGTATTTGACTGTTGTCTGTGACGTAGAAGAAGTTTATAAAAATAATGAGATTTCAGAAATACCACTATAAAGTAGAAGTAGTTGATCCTCGGCCTCCCCCGCCTCCCCCACTTCCTCCCTTCCCCGCCCCCAGTAAGAATATTATATCATTAGGAATCTCAAGTCCACATATTATTATCTAACCAATCGAATTGTTTGTAAAATCTGATATTGAGTAGCGGCAGAGGCCATGATAATATTAACAAAACGGCCAGTAAAAGTAATGTAGTACCTTGTATAATGTATAATGTATACTGTATATTGCACTCCCCTATTTTTAATTAGAGGTGCACAATAGAATGAGCCCTAATGGGTAGGGGGGCCCTTATGGCCTGGTATTCATATCTCATTTCATAATCTAGGGGACCTCAGTAAGGGTCGGTACATGGAATGAAGTCAAGTCGGTGCATAGCGTCCTTAATGATCATCTCTCATTTCATTTTCTCAGTAGCCCTCAAGGAGGGTCGGAACAACAGATGAAGAGGAGACAAATAACCCACAGGGGGCTGGTATTATCACTACCCTCAATATAATCTTACTGTTTGAAGTAAAATGGGTAGCATACATATTCGTTCTAATCGTATATTGCTAGATTTTCTAATAATTTCCAGAGTTTAGTTAAACTGTTTTAAGAATCTTAATATAGTGACTTCAGACCGTATGATAATGGTATAATAACTTTAAGGAAATAGTGGTGTCAGAAGTTGTAAGAAGTGTTAATCAGAACCGCTAAAATATTCAAAACTTGTGAAGAACAGTAGATATGATATGATAGTGTAAATTATAATATTTAACTTTATTAGTTGAGTAAAATAGTGTGAAATAATAATGTCATAAGTTTTTAAATTAAATTATATAATTAAACTTAACAACCTGGCTAACTTACCAAGTTGTCTAATGAAGAGAGAGAGGGTCAGCTCAGACAGAGTGCCTTTATCTGGAAGAGATAAAAAGTTTTACAAACATGTTGCTTACAGACATCAATTCATTGTGAAATAATTAAATATCCGATTTCTTCAAATTTGTGTCAAGAATTTAGAGCTAGATTGTCATGTCTATGAGGATCAGGTGGAACGCCCAGGTAGAATTGGCCGGAGAGTAAGGGTCAAACGTTTTCCTTTCTCTCTCTGGTCATTGCCTCTCTAAACAGTAAACACGGAATATCTTCTTAACTTCTAAAAATAGATTTGTCTCTTACCTCTGAGGTATTCTGCCAAGTCTCCCCCGTTACAGAACTGAAAATATTTCACTGTCAGGAATAGAACTAAAAGTTAAAACACTCCATTACTTTGTACTATATTATTATAAAATGCTCTATATTACTACAGGACTATATCACTACAATGTTATTAAACGCTAGTACAGGATAAGATCAGACTAGTGGAGTGCTATTTAAATCCTTACTCCTTAACTAGCCTGAGGTTACCAGTATACTGCAGTAGTAACCAGTAGTAAATAGTAGTAACCAGTAGTAACCAGTAGTAACCAGTAGTAACCGGTAGTAACCAGTAGTAACTAGTAGTAACCAGTAGTAACTAGTAGTAACCAGTAGTAACCAGTTGTAACCAGTAATAACCAGTGCAGTAGTTACCAGTAGTAACCAGTATTAACTAGTAGTGACCAGTAGTAACCGGTAGTAACCAGTATTAACTAGTAGTGACCAGTTGTAACCAGTAATAACCAGTAGTTACCAGTAGTAACCAGTATTAACTAGTAGTGACCAGTAGTAACCGGTAGTAACCAGTAGAGCAGTAGTAACCAGTAGTTAACATATATAACATAAAGTTTAAAGTATGCTAACAGCTGAACTGTTTGAGATGATGTCTGGCGAGATTGTTTTTTGTGTGGACAGTTTATCTGAAATACAGTATATGAGTATACACTAATGTCTCATAAAGAGCTAAGAGCTCATGACTACCTATACTATTATCTACCTCTACTACCTGAGCTAAATATAGCTACATTTACTTACTTTTCTTGCTATTAAATAAATAGTATGGTGACAAATATATCATTATCTTAACACTAGTAAGTTAATAGTACTAGTAGTAACGTATGTAAACTAGTAACATGTAATTGTAAATTGCTCCAACTTAGGATCTGTATTTTTAACATGTAAAGATCAATAGGCTATAGAGATTACGATCATCAGTAGAGCTCGACTGTAGAGACTACTAGTACTGTGGTATGAATCCAGTGCTGAATAATAAATGTAACATTACCCACAGTTACAACCAGAACAGTTCAAGTTTTAACTGAAATACAGTTACAGTAATTGTGACGTTAGTATGTGAAATTGTAAGACTCAATTTCATTCAGTGATGGTTGAAAAACTTGAAAAGTAGAGGTGGCTGTTTTGGTACGTGATTACTGATTACCAGTGGTCACCATGATGACAACACCTATCACCATGAGAACTATCTGTCACCATGACAATTAGCTATCACCTTAACAACTCTCTATCTAGATGACAACTAGCTATAATATGCTCATCATTATCGGTGGTGTCACGGTAGGAACTCGTAGTATTGCACAGTGGGTGAGGTCTACATGTTATATTGCTGATAGTATACCCTAGTTTAGGCGTGTACTCTGCAGTGAGTAACATATTACCTGCATAACAGGACCTACTTTTGTGAAGTACAGAATGTGACTTTTGTGACATACGCACATATTATGTAATGTGACGTTATCATATTAACATGTGAGTAGTATTGGTTACTAGAAAATAGTTGTTCAGTAGGTGTGTAGATTAATACGGAGTAAGAACAGGGGCTCACTGTTCAGGGCTCACTGTTCAAGGTGTTTCTTAATAATATTCTCTGTTCGATACACCCAGCGTTTGTGTATGTCAGTAATTTGCAGTAATTTCTTGCAGAGCTAGATAAGATTTTATCTCATTCACTAACGAGTTTATATAATTTTAAAAATAGCAAATCAGATTATTAGATTTTCTGCGGAATCATTCATATAAGAGACACGCACACTAAAAACTGTATGGAATGATAGGAGAATTTCTGAGAATCCAGTAGCAAAGTTAAATAATTGGGTATCAGAATAGACAGGGTATAATACTAGACTTATCATATTATTATGAAGAGCTTACCTCCATAACCATTATCAGCGACTTGTCCGTCTCCTGAAAGGAACATTGTTAAATATAATTATAAAACATCATCTTTTTAAAGTGGGAGATGGTTTATATTCCATCTTGTTCTTATCTGTTACAAAAGTTTATTATTATATAATAATTCGTTTGAAATCCCCACCCCGCCTCTTTGATTCTGGATACAAACAAAGACAATCATGCTCTGAGTTAGGACGCTGACAATTGTTATGTATGACTCATACAGACGATGCTGACCGAGCCTATAAAAACGTCAATATCCCACAACTCTGCAATGCACGTGCAGTTAGTACACGTGCATATCAGGTGAGGTCATGTTATATTCTCATACTGTTCACAGGACGTTCTCAGGAGAGTCGAGCTAAAACTGCAACATTACATCACTGAGCTGTGTAACAGTGTAGTGGCTACTACTGGTGTAACTGTGTACTTTGGTACGTACATTGTACAATACATATTACAGTGATATTATGGAATGTAAATATTATGGAATGTACATATTGTGGAGTGTGTATTCTGTGTATTATATTTTAGTAGTGTACTTGTAACTGCAACTAACTCTTGTCGGCAGAATGGGTAAAACTTGTAACACATTTATTTTAAATAGAAGATCCAGTAAGATAGATGACCTTATTAAATGCGCAATTTCCGAACTGGAACATTATTTGTTCAAGTTATTAATGAGTCGCAATTACAAGGATAAGCGTCACAAATCTTCTGATTATAACGTTGCTGCAACAAAGGAAAATCAAGTGTTTTTCTTTGTCGCGACAACGTGATAAATGATAATCAGTTACATTTTGAACAGTCAGTATGTTAATTTTGAATGTTATAATGGATTTGTTGGAGCATACATAATATATTAGTATTATAGATTATATTATATTATAAATATATATTATAAATATCAAGTTTTACAAATAGTACGCTACTAAAAGTAAACATTGTGAGTACAGTACACAGTGCACAGTACATTAACAATAACACAGTACATCTTTATAATTATTGTGGACACTTCCGGTATATTATAGGAGGGTCACTACACCTGCACACTGCAACACACAACACTGCACACTGTATACGGTGCTCGTAATAAAGAGGAGAGTTCAGGTGTTAATAAAGGTTGCCAAATATTAGGTGTGTATTATTATTATGTATTATAGGTTAGGGTTGGTGGGGGAGGGCCGTGGAGGGGGTTGGTGGGGAAGGGGGGAGTATTATTATTATGTGTTATAGGTTAGGGTTGGTGGGAGAGGGGGGTTTCGATGGTATATCTCTCACCACACGGTTTTCGCGAAAAGTTGTGTTAAAGTTGATGTTGTGGTGTCAGTAAAATGGTAACAGATATATATATATATATATATCGAGTTAGTTATAAAAAACTAAGACTATAGTCCTGTATAAGGTAGACAGACAGGCAAGTAACCACCAACATTCCACTGTGAGATATAGAGTTGTTCTGCTAGGCAGCTGCAGCTGGAATCAATAACTATTTATTAATGCAAGATTGAAGATACTGAACTTTGCAAGACGGACGTGATCAGTGTAAAAACGTAGATTAAGATAAAACTGCCTTCCTCTGCATCTCCTTGCTATTTATAAGCAAGGTAGACAGGTTAGCATCAGGTGACTGTATTCCGAGTTTCGTATTGACGTGATACATTTACGGACACGTACCTTAATTCCCAAAAATTTGGGCGACAAAAAATTTGAGCGGGCCTCTCGCCCAAGTTTTTTGCAGACCAAATTAATTGCATAAATCTTTTCCGTCTGCTAAATTTTTTGTTAACCAAACTTTTGGCATTTGGCCTGTGGCCCTGAAATCTATAGAAAGATGGCTTTTTCTTCATATCCAAGTGAAATGATATTTGAAATTTTAGTTTTCTAATCTGTCATTCATGGCTTGACCAAGTAAAAATGCTTATATTTTAAATGAATAGAAATAACTGGATTTGGAATAGCTAACAGCTACTAATAAAACAAATGGCTAGAGTTACGGATAGCTAGAGATTTAAACAAGATCTGCAAAATATGAATTATCATCCACCGTAAAGTCTGATCTACTAGTATCAGTTATACCCGACTTCTCAAAGCCTTTCCTTATGTCATCTGGCTTCCCTTTTAAATATACAAAAGTTCGTTGATCCAACGAGCGTGTACTTCACGGATCACTGTCAAGCGGGTATCAATTTTCACATTGTCTGATGAAACTCCTCCATTGAGCTGACACACTATGATTTTCGCGTACCAATCTTCGTACTTATTGCGCATGAATTTCTTAGCCAGTCCATTGATAGATATGTCCAGGGGCTGTTGCTGGAACTTTCTGTAGGATGCAGTTGTTGGCTGTCATCAGATCTTTTAGTGTCTGTGTGTGTTGGGCCCGAAACATATCTGATATCAGTAGCGCTTTCTGCTCAGGGTTATAATAAGGAATAATAATGAACTAAGGCAAATATCTAACTGAAATTTTAGTGGAAAATCGTTCATTTTTCGAAGAATTTGTGCCCAAATTTTCGGTCGCCCAAATGAATTCAAAATTTCTGCCCAAATTTTTCGGGCTCAAATAAATTGTGCTCAATATAATGGCACACAAATTTTTGGGAACTAAGGTATCTACTCACAGACATGTTGGGGTTGGTGGGGGAGGAGGGGGAGGAGGAGGGGGAGGGGGTGGGGGTAGGGCGTGTATTGTAATGTACCCCTGTTGATTTGAAACCTGTACACTTTCTGTATACAGCAGGGAATTCATTTCCCACAGTTAGATACACAGTGCACTACTCGACGTACATTCCCCTTACATGCAATTATTGCACCTAAACCTAACACTTAAAGCATAAAAAACAACATTATTTCAGACAAGGACTTCCTGCACTCAACAACTGAGCAACCAATCAGAGAACAGTACTTCAGACCACGTGACTATTTCCAGCCAATCAGAGGGCAGTACTTCAGACCACGTGACTATTTCCAGCCAATCAGAGGGCACTATTAACACCACGTGATAGCTGTGAACCAATGAGACACATGAGGAAGTTTGGAAACTGAAAGTGGGCGATTTACAAGATACTATCTCCTGCTGTGAACCACACACATGATAAACATTAAACACGCCAGATACCGGTTAGACTTGTTAATAAAGTATGGAAGGGATACATGTCACAATACTAATACTTATACTGGACACATTATTAGTTACACAGCTGGTATTGAGGAGGTCAATACACAGAGGCAGGTCGAGGAAAGTGAGACACACGAGATATATTGTGAGACACACTAGATACATTGAGATACATTGTGGGACACACGAGACACAAACTTGCTCAGACATGATTATTGATAAAGAAGGCCGGGAAGTGTTCATGTTACATTATTAGACCCACAGTTGGGATATTGGGAAGGTTACTGTCAGACTAGAAATAGCCATGAAGCGAGGTTCACGAATCAGGAACGAGATAGCTCAAATATTCTAACAATTTTGACGTCAATCAAATAATTTCCCTGGATTTAAGCTGGTCTTTAGCACGTTATTACAGTATTTCAAGAGACTGTCTGACTGTGTCTAAACTACCTAACTCTCTCAAGACCAATGTCTAGACACACAGTCCGTCCTTGTACAAGCTGGGCCATAATCAACACAGCATTGAGACTCACTCTCCGACTCATGCTACTGAGAAATTACACAAAAGTGGTACTTTGCTCGTTACACTAAGTTTGTGGAGGTTGTGTTAATACTAGCCCGCCCACAAATCTCCCCAGCATAACATCTGTTGCTTTGTTCAGATGTAACTCTGTTAAGTAAGATCTAGAATAATTAGTTTTTGGAAGGTTCTGGAAGGAGCTTAAAGACCTTTAGTTAGTGTCATGTGGTGGAATATTTAATGTGGTCATCTGTGTAATGTAAAGGGGGAATATTTAGGGTCCTTTACAAGTTAAACATCAATTGTGTGTTATATGATCAGCTCTAATATTAAATATTAGTTTGCTACTCAATTCAATTCTTAATGCTTTAATATGGTTTAGTAAATCTGACTAGTGGCCAAAATTCAAATCAATAATTATTCAATATTTAATATTTATCCATATATATAAGCTCGATTAAACATAATATAAGTTGAAATCATCTCTTGAGTAAATTCGTGGAGATTATTATACTGAGAATATCAAGATTTCCAAATACTCAGAATTATTGACCTGTCATTAATTATTATGGTGTTATGACTATGTGAATCATTTTAGGATATATTTGAGGAAGTGCAACTTAGGTCTGTTTGTTAAGATTGAAAACCTGACTTTAAAGAAGCTGAATAGTAGACTGTTACATTACATACACCACAATGTAGATACACATTAAGTTCACAAATGTGTTTAGTTTTGTGGTATTAACGGACACACTACGAGTAATGAGTAATGAGTATGCAGCATTTAGAGTAGTTCATTACGCACACGGTCAGCTCCAACTCAACTTCTTACAGTCGTTTTACCGGTTTTGTAGCTGTTATGTGGCTGATTGATGGTAGAGATTTAAAATTAAATAAGAGAGAATTTGCACCGTTAGATAATATCCCATTGTCTGTTGTTCGGTAAAGTTGGCAAGAGTATTGTAGTGTTATTATTATTATTGCCATGTGAATACATTCCACTCTCTCCACAAGCATGCACTGTAACACAGTGCACTCTAAACTAACATACTTATCATACCAGGACAATGCTCCTGTTGTTTAAGTGCACATTAACAGCACAGTTACTGCTCACTGTTTGGCAATTGCACCTAGACAACAACATACCACTCATCTTATCAGCTGTTCAGCTCTGTAACTAGTCATTCTTCTCCGTGATCTCATGATAGATAGTTTAGTAGTGAGATCATCACACTCATACCAGAAATAATACTTCTAACTTAACTGCAGATCACGCCGGGGTAGCTGCAACCAAGCTTCCTTTGAGACCTGCGCATAACAATGTGCACCGAAAACAACTTCCATATATTAATAAGATCTTGTCCTTTTGGATTGTAGTGATAATTTAAACAAAGGTTACTATCTTGTCGTGCATGCTGGTGATCAGTAGAAGTATTAGTTCCCGCCTCAGTAAAGAACACGCCCGACTAGTTTCACCTCTGATTCACATAGCTGACCTAAGAAAATCAAATATAGCCCTCTTAATCGCATCTTTCATTTCTGAGAAACTTAAAAACTAAGAAACTTGCATCAAATTAGAATGCTGACAGTCAACTTAATTTTGAAACTTGGGCTTGACAGGCAATGCACGATACCAATTACGGTGAATAATATTGGACAAATTCCTTGAAAAATATTCCTTTTGTAAATTATTTGCAAAAGGATACGGCACCGGGAATTCCCAGGCGGACACCCATCCAAGTACTAACCCGGCCTGCAGTTGCTTAACTTCCCAGATCGAACGAGATGGGGTGTATTCAACCGAGTATGGCCGTATTCAACATTAATGAAATGTAAGCGTCTATATTCGATGGATCGATCGGTCTAAATCACTCCGGGCGAGCTCAAACTTGCTCCATATCACGCCAGATATTAACCAGATTTATCTAAGTGGAATACAGTGCGACAGAAACATCGTATCCGGGGGGTATGTCCCACGTGACACAGCTGATATGTCACGCTGACCGGAAGTGGTACTTCTAGTACCGGTCCCCCTTCCTGCAGCTCTCTCTACTCGTCCACAGGTAATTAATTAATTGTGTAATTACAGGTAGCCTGAGACCTCAGGGCTCTCAAATTACATTACGAAACTGGTGAACGTTTTAGACAGAAAGATGTGCTGGTTAGAGAAAATTCAGGGCCCCAACAGTTTATCTCTGTCAACCAAAATATTGCTTATTACATCCTGTGCTAATTTATTCAACAACCTGAAGCCTTTTATGGAAGGATAAAAAGAAGGAAGAAGACAGCAAAGTGAGACACTCTCAGAAATGGTGGCCGCTGCAAAATACAGTACACATTATACTGACCATGTTACTTGTATACAATACAGAGCTGGTCGTGTTTTCTATAGGAAATAATAAATAGTTGTGTTATGTTGTATTATCTTGTGTACTTTCACGTAAGGTCGCCAAGATAATCATACATTAATGAAATATCAGTGTGCGAATACTGAAAATTAGGGGAGGGGGAACTTAATATCCTAGGTAGTTTGGGTATGCTTCACGTTTACATGTATAATCTAAGTTAATCATAACAGCTGATGCAAAGTTAGAGAAGAGATTGCTAATTTGGAACCCGTCATTTTGTAGAGATCACAAGCAAACACCGACCTCCGGGCAACTCTGTCAAGTATAATCTACTATTTGTGGCAATGATGGAAGACATAATGGTTCAAACGTTTTAAAAGTGATTATTTCTTACCTTGAAGTCGTACAGCTGTACAATGTTATCATGGGTCACCTCCTGAAATAAAGATAAGATAAAACAAATGTTATGAAGGAACATGTGAACAGGGAAAGGAGATAATATAATATACACATTATTTCAATTAATTAATTTTCATAACCAGTTCCAGTACTGATTATCCTTTCAACGCTAATTATAAAATTGTACATCTGTTAATTGTCACTATACATAACACTTGCGGTATTATACATTGCATGCAATATACATGATATAAGTTGTGATTGAATTGAAGCATTACAATAGTACACTGGTGTGTAAGCTAATTTTGGCAGATGATGATATTTTGTGGTGTTTGTCTTTATTGCCAAGACAGCTCATTTTAGCACAGAGATAATATCAAGATTCTAATAAAATGTTTGGTGAGATACAAAATCAGTAGAAATGGTCAGTTAAACAAGAAACAACTAGGAAATCGTTATAGTAGCAGCTTAAGCTTGCAGAAGTTAAGGGGCAAAATTTTAAAAAAACTTGGCCACTATTGTACCCTAACTATTCTAATTATTAACCAATTACTTATTAGTTGACTAATTGTTTACTAATTTTATACTGATTTCTTACCTTTAGAATGTTGATCTCCTCAGCGCTAATTAGTTTGCTGGACTTCTGTTTTTTACTGATGCATTTCACTGCCACATTCTGGGTAGGTGTCTGAAATACAGACATTAAGAAAATGACATACCAGCATTAGAATCTAAATAATGTACTGGAATTTAAGTAACTGGTACATCTCGGTATGGAAACTGAACAAATTTAAGAAAATTGTGTAGTCTTATTAATCTGTTTATGTTGCTGCTAATCCCCTGCAGATAAAGATCAAGAAGCACACTACCTGTGCTTGAAAATTAAGGTAATAAAAAAACCGTCCCCTTTTCAATGAACAAAATATTAAAGAAGCCATAGGGACAGGTAAATGTCTGTGGACATTGAACAGGAATCTAGTATCCATGGATAAACTGGTTTAGTTAGTGGTAATGGACAGTGCAAATTTGTTTGATTACTTACCACACAGTTGATGCCCCGGTAGACAACGGCAAAAGCACCGTGGCCCAGTATGTTTGTCTTGTCATACTCGTATTGGCCTACATGTTCCACTGTGTGACGGGCTCCACTTGTCATCACTTTGAGTAACCTGGGTAATAAATAGTTTTACTTGACATATTAGTTGTAAAAGAATAAAAATCTAATTTTAACTGTTTTGCAGCAGTGCCAGTAAGCTTGTGATAGAATAACAAAGGAATATGAATAACATGACTCATTCTTTCATTGAATAACAATCAAACTAAAAAGCATGGAGCACTTATTACCTGTGTTAAAAGGTTGTTTATATCAGTGTTAATGAGCATCACTTTTAACTCATTGTGATGGATTCATACTAAAATCTTTATCCCTTAAAATCTTTTGTATTGTTGCTGAAATTCCATGTCTGATAAAAAGAAGTTGTTAGCATTCATAATATATATCTTTATCGAAGTGAAGACGGATAAATTAATAACGCATCATCAAAAGTGGGATAGCGAAATGTTAAGTTTACTATCTGACAGGTAAAAACAGTGCAAGGGGTATAATATTCGAAGGGAATGAGAAAAAAGTGAGAAGTCCAACAATGAATGTCTGCTGCAATTTCTCGCATCAGAAAAATTCATCAGATTTTTGATTAATCGATATAAGGGATCCCACCAGTGTTTATCAATGCCATCAACATGTTCCCGTTTAATCAGTAGTCAATAACTACACAGGATTGTTGTAATGAAAATGAAATGATGGGGTCTGGACTTGAGACCAGATTGAAGTACATAAAAATTTACATCGATGCTCTCTGATTGCCATCAGGCTAGCTCAAATTATTTGTTATGTAGCAGTGTTGAAAGTATTAAAACTGTTTACTTAAATAGGTGGCCCTACATTTCAGACTAAAATGCGCCTAGGGTTAGGTTTCTCAAGGGTGCTGGCAGTCATGTTCCAAAAACAAAATTTGTATTTACCGCAATTGATTGATATAAATCGACCTCGTTTACATATAAATGAGAAAGTTTTACAGCCAGGTCAAGGCAATTGTAAGAATTAAGGTGGAATTCCATCGAAATATGTTGTTGAGGAATTCCACGGAGCTTATTAGACTTGACGGATAGTTCAATAAAATAATATCAAAATAGGTCTTTGCGAGTTTCTACAGTTGGTTGTAATAGGTTGAAAAACATGTATAGTTCGTACAACGTTACCAGTTACTATACTGGTTAAGTCTGACAAGATCCCCATTTTTGCTAGTTATATAAAGTAAGTAAGTAAGTAAGTAAAGATTATGACATAACATAATCACAAGTGTCTACAAAATATCATTACACCAAATAGAAAAATAATTTAAATAAATATATTTTTCCATCAACATTAATAATTTTTATCAAATTCAATTTTATTAATTAATAAAATCTAATACATTATCTATATATAATTTATTAATACTTCCCAGTGGAATAAAGATTTACAAAACGCTTCTTTGCCACAAAAGGATGGAACCAAAGATATTCATTATGTCTCTCCTTATTGCTTAAATAACTGGGTCCTTCAATTTTCCCTAAAAATTTTTTTAAAATTTTATTAAAATTATTCAAACAATATACACATAATATAGCAATGACCCTATATAAAAACAAACCTTTAAGAATATAAAAAATTCCCTAAACACTCAAAAATTACCCTTGGCCTTGTGGCTCCAAGTTAAGATCTAGACTGTTTATATTAACAATGTTTTTTCTCGCACCTCTGTCTCCACGGAGAGAAATCACTGTTGTTCTTAGGATTTCAAAGCGAAGGCGCTTTCTGATGTAACCTACAGCATCCGAGTACCTCTGGCCAGTGTGGTACTCCATCTTACTGGCCAGCTTTTTTACCAGTCTTTCAGCCTCACTACCCATTCCACCAGAAGTCGAGAACACTAAAGGTGTGAAGCTTCCTTTCTCCACTTCAAGAACCCTTGCGTTGTAACATCGCTTTTTCTCATTTTCATGGGACTGGTACATTGCTGGGATCGATTTGCTTGCATTGGAGGGGGCTGGGGCATGAAATACCCTTACATCAAAATATGCCCTCTCTGAAGCATTCCAAATCGATCTTGCAGAAATGTCCAGCCTAGCTTGGTCTCCAAGTACTGTTCCCTTAGGCAACTTCAGACCATCAACTGGAAGAAGACCTGGCTCAGTCTGCACATCCTTGCATTTCACAGTTCTCATTAGTTCAGCAAAGGTGTCTCTCAGCGAGTTGTGCCGCAGTGACACATATCCACCGAGTTTGCAGATGAGCGCATGGTTTGCTGAGTACTTTTGGCCACACGTACATGTCTTAGGGCTGTCCTTTAAGTTTAGGTTATATCTGAGTGCTATTGCGTCTGAGAACTGTTGTTTGTTCATCAGATATCCATACTCTTTTAAAGGTAGTGCTGTTAACCAAGCACTTGCCCCTTTCTCAGCAGCTAGTTGGAACATCAACTTTGCCAGTGGTGTTGACTCGAGCTCCTGGCGTATTTCCGCTTGTTTTTGTCGATAGAAGAGATTTCGTTCAGTTGTTATCTCAGTTTTCACTCCTTTGCTTACTCTCCAGTCCTCTGTGTAGTTGTCTACCTGCTTGAGAATAGCTTCTTTAAGGGGTTTTGTGGCTCTACATGAGAATTTGTACTCTCGGTCTGCCATGTCCATCATAACTGGTATACCCAATCCTCCATATCTTGGTGGTAGAGCCATTATGTTCCTTAGTTCATCAGTGCAGCTAAACAGCCTGTTGATGATAGCTGGGATAAACTCATCGCGTGTTACTTGTTCCAGAGGAGTGAGCCTATCTGCAACTCCTGGGGTAGTTCTGCACACATAGTTCCATCTTTTACTAAGCCCATACATGTATGCACTGTATGCTATTTGAGGTTCTCTTGATGCTATATCACTTAATTGTTTAAGATCACGACACCATTCTTGAACTTTTTCCTCAATGAAAGCCCCTTTTCCTTCATCAGTTCCGATAAAGCTGCCCAGATATCGTCGACCAATACTTGTCACATTGACATCTGGGAACAAGTTTCTTGCCTTCTCTTCGTGCTCAGGCTTGACTATCACCCATGTCTTGGAAGATTTAGGGTTGTAACCAAAAAGTGGTCCTTTAATGCAGAGGTTATCCCACCATTTCCTCATTTCTTCCAGTTTTCCCCCAGCAGCAGAGTCATCAGCATACCAGATCTGAGTCACTTTTCTCTCAATGTTTCCTGCATCAATCAATGGTATTGTACCACATGCATAAAATCCCATAGCAGGTGGATCACCTTGTGTTGTCCCTTCTTCACTAAAAAGATGTTCATCTTCTCCTGCAATAAACAGTCTAGCAGGCATTCTGTAGGTGTTCATAATGTAGGTAGCAACTTCTGGACATACAATATACATGTTGTTAAGAGCTGCCTCTCGGTTCAGCAAGTTGAATGCATTCTCTGCATCCACTAAGATGATGGCTTCAGTTTCAGGATCTTCAAAGCAGTCCCTCGCAGCATGAACAGCTGCTTCCACTCCTCCCTGAAGACCAGCACACACTTGAATAGGAACAGTGGCACCAACCCGGTCCTTCTGTAGGAGGGTCATCACTGTCTTCCCTATTATCCTTCATAAGACTTCACCAATGCCAACAGGCCTGACGCCAGGCTTTTTATCCAGGGGAACAAGTCGACATGCTGTCAATGAGGTCAACATCGTTGGATCCAGATTCCTGACACATAGTTTCCTTGCTATCCCTGCTATAGCATTGCATAGATCCTCACACTTCTTACCAAACTGTTTAGAACACAGTAGTCTTTTCCACGCATCCGCATCCATTCCTGAAGGCCCTGCAGCACCCTGTACTCTCTTTGCTGCTTGTCTTATCGATTCCCCGTCAATACTGTCAAAGATAACCGGCTCTACTCTCCTCACTGGTCCACTCAGACAGCTTCCCTTTGATGCAGGTGATGCCTTGGGATGCTTCTCGTTCAGTACTTTTATCATGTATCTGGAGTGGGTTCAAGAATCCCGGTGGCATTTTCGCCAATCCACCTCATTGCTGCACTGACTTTACCTTTCATCATAAGTCGAGTGAAGACTCTCTCAACATGGCCATGTTCATGTTTCCCCTTTCCCATTCTTCTCTGAATCTCCTGTCCTTCTCGCAGCAACTCTTCTAACTTACCTGCCTGCCACAAAACAAGCCTTCTCTTCAACACTTCAGTGTGTTCCTTTGCTTTGGATCTCTTTGAGGGTTTCTGCAACAGTAGTGATGGCATTATCATCGAAAGGGGCATTGTCACTGATTCCATAGTACTGCCTGCTGAAAAATTGTTGGCCACTTTAGTCATTTCCTCAATGAATGCTTTTCCTGCAGCCCCTGAGGGAAGCAGAAATATGTTTCTTCTCCATTTGACTACAACACCATATATTCCCTCACATTGTGTTAGAACTTCCCAACTATTCCATGATCCTAATTTCAATTGAGATGGATCCCTTACATTTTCATAACCTGGGAAACAGCACTCCTTTCCCTCTTCTTCCACAATATGAGGGTCCTTTGATATTGGAGTAGATGGTTGTACACTTTCTTCGACCTGTCTCCTCAACTTTCGGATAGCTTCAGTTATGGGGTTTTCGTCTTCGTCTTCGTTGCTCTTCTCCTCCTTGCCACATCTTTGACATGACCACTCAGAATCCTCATTTTCTGCTAGGTCTTTAAACTGCAACTCTGACAGTCCACTACATGCCGCATGGAACCATCGTCCACATTTTCCTTCACATTGAATACAATCATATATTACCTCCTTTGAACAAAATCCACAGATATCAGCTTTCTTTCCAGTTTGCTTTCCTACTTTGAACCTAGTGTCCATTTTTCTTGTGTCAGGCATTCCAACCCAAAAATGGGAACCACTACTGTTGCCGAGTCGGTTACCAGCAGACACTGAAGCTTACCGCTGTCAGCCCCTACTGGATACGAGTCTCCTTAACAGTAGTGGACCCAAATTTGGGATCTGATGGAGTAGTCTCAACACCTAAAACTTCATTCGAAAAATTCCAAAAATAAAAATCATTTACACTGTTTTTAGAAATCATTTCTTTCTTAAATCCTTCCAATCTAACTTTAAAGCTTAAAACTGTCGAGCAGTTCTTGAAAGTTCTTGGGGGAGTTTGTTCCAATAATAAGGAATGACTCGCTCCGGAAGAAAAAATATATTTATATATAAAATATATTTTTATTTACTTGAATTGATACTAAATAAAATTGCTGTTTTCTTAAATTGTTGTTTTCTAAAAAAAAAAAAAAAAAAAAGGGGGGACCCCCAACCCATGTAGCTGAGACACCTCACAGCAAGTTGACCAAAGTGGCTCTTGCTTGTGATCGGTGCATCAACTACCCGCCGAAGCGGTGGGTTGGGAGTCCCCCCTGGGATCATTTCGTCCGTAAAATTGTATACAATATAAAATAGTACAGTAAAATATCTACAAAATTTACATAAACAAATCTAGGAGACCTCAAAGCTCGTCTTCTGGGGAATGAGGTTGAAGGATACGTCTTGCAGTTCAAGATGCTGGGCTGTTGACCTTCCTCTGATTCCCCTCAGTGCAATGAGTGTACTTCTTAACAGATCAAATCTGAATCGTGTTCTGATATGATTTTTGACTTGGCTCTTGGCTTCTTTTTTGTGGTCAGCTATCATCTCAGAGACACGATCTACAAACACTGTGCAGAGCGGTCCCATACCTCCGGAGGTTGTGAAGACTAGAGGGACAAAGGATCCCTTCTCCGACTGAAGTACTCTCTCTTCATACAAATCTTTCTTTTCTTTCTCATGATCTCTATAGATCTTATCTAGTGGCTTAAATGTATTTGTGTCACAGTTGGGATGTGTGACCCTGATGTCATAGAATGTTCTTTCGAAAGGTGCATACAATCCGACAGCTGCTACATCAAGACGGGCTTCATCCTGGGTGTTGGTCTTCCTTGAGAATGAGCTTGGTTGGACTGTCAGGAGTGCTGGTTCTATCCTTACGTCTTTACACTTTGCTTCTCGGAGGAAGAAAGCAGCAGTGTCTCTTATGGCATTGTGGCGCATGGAAACGTATCCACCTAGTTTACAGTCAAGGGCGTGGTAGATACTGTTTACATTTCCACAGGCACATTTAGAGGGCACTCCTTGGATCTTCCAACCATAACGTAGGCGTATGCTGTCTTGGAACTCCTGCCTGTTCAGAACATAGTTGAGGTCCTTCAGTGGTAGTGTTGAGAGCCATGTTGAGGCTCCCTTCTCTCTTGCTTGGTCTAGGTGGTTCTTAAGTTGATGATCTGACTCATTATAGAGCACCTTGAACCTTTGGGAGAGAAACTCCTCTTTCTGTTTCCTCAGTTCTTCTTTCTTTTCTTTTATCTTGCCCAGATCCAGCTTGGTGATATCCTGGTCTTGTTGGTTGATCAAACTCACAAGGTCTTTAGTTACTGCTACTGAGTAAACATATTCACGGGTTGTTATCCGGACAGGATTGATGATGCCTAGCCCTCCACATCGAACAGGAAGTTCGAGGATATCTCTCTCGTGCTGGCTGACTGGGCGACCAAGGAAGGCTGGAATGAGTACATGCATGATCTTGCTCTCCAGTGGGGCAAAGTACTCAGCAATATCAGGTATTGTCCTCATGAAGAACCTCCATCGGTGGCATACTCCTTTGGTGAAAGCTGAATAAGCCAGCTGTGGTTCTTCAGATGCAATATCAGCAAGTTGCTCAGTATCTGTTATCCATTTCTCAACTTTTTCTTTGATGTAATCTTCCCTGTATTTCTTTGAGCCTACCACAGCACCAAGGTGACGTTCTCCAGATGTCGTGATCTTAACACCAAGATGCCCAAATAGAGTCTCTGCTTCAGTTTGGTCTTCGGGATTCTTGACAATTAGAATGGTCTTTTTAGCGTTGGGGTAGTACCCATATCCCGGGCCGATGTCACAGAGTCTATTCCACCACTGAAGAAGTTGGATGAAGCTTCCACATGCGGAGCTGTCATCAGCGTACCACACCATGGTTGCTTCTGCATAAGCTCTGAGATCATTTATTATAGGTCTAGTGGCTATGGAGTAAAATTGCATTGCTGCAACATCTCCTTGAGTGTTTCCTTCTTCACCCCAGATGAACTCCCCTGACTTTGACCCTGAAATAAAGAGCTTTGTCCTTGCTTGATAGGTGTTTTTGAGAAATTGGTGAAACACAGGGCAGGTTGTTGCAACAGTATCTAGGGCCTGCTCTCGGTGTAAACTGTTGAACGCATTTGATGCATCAACTAGGAGAAGGCCTTGGCTGTTTTCGTTGGCAAAGTTCTCGGCCATTGAGTGAACTGCAGCCTCTATGCCTGACTCAATGCCACTACAAGTTTGAAGAGACCCACTTGCTTCCTTAATGTGTTCTTTGATGGTTCTTGTTACAGTTTTTGTCATGATACGTCGCAAAACTTCACCAATGCCGATAGGTCTGACTCCTGGTCGCTTATCTAAAGGGATCAATCTACTTGCAAGAAGGTCATTGTTGTTTTCTTGGAAAAGACCAAGTTTATTGATTGGCTGAATTTTTAGTGCCCTCAGAATTTTTTTAATTTGCTTCCAATTAGAAATTTGTTTTTCTAAAAAATTCAGAATTGTTAAAAATATGGTATAAAGGTGATTGTCCAGCTATAAAGTTAAACGCCCTTAACAATCTATAAACCGATTTTACAAATTGATTAAAAACCGTCATCATTTTATGAAAACCGCTTTTTAGTATAATAATAATAAAAGCAGCCTTCACATAGCCATGTGTATACGAGTACTGCGTGACGCGCTTGTCTCACAAGTGCGGTCGCGCGCTACTGAAAGCGAGAGGGCTCTGGCAGCAAAAAGCAGCCCATAAAAATAAAAATCCCACAATTTGGAAAACGGAATACAGTACTTTCTAAACATTGCAGCCCATTTAAAATACACATATCACTGCACTGCACAGTGCACAACTGCAGCAACAAAAAACTAAGTTATGCCCTTAAGATTGACAATGTCAATCCTTCAATAACAGCTCTTAGCGCGGCACAGTAGTGCGTCTCGTTGATTTTGCTATAAATATTTTTGATGCGTGCGCGGCGCCGCCCAATAGTGCCTCGAGTTCACCTAGCCATGAGTCTATACGTACTGCGTGACGCGCTTATTTCCGCGGTCGCACCGCGCGCGCTTCTGCAAGCGAGAGGGCTCTCGATAGAGCAATGCCTCGAGCAACAATCCAAGCCTTTACACTTTACTAAAAACACTATTTATGATATACGGTTGGTTATTTATATATATTTAATTATGCCAAACAATTACAATGCAATGTTAAAAGGGTAATTGTTGTTCATGTTAGAAAACTAGGACTTCGCCGCTTCAATGTTCAACGCACCGTGCAAACTATAATGTTTGCTTTGCATTCTTGCTCCGCATCATTTTGTTTTGCATTGCAAATTGTTGCTTAATTTAACGGGTGATACTCATAAAATATTTGTTTCAAATATTATATATAATATATATTTAAGACCGTTGACGAGTCCAACTCGGCGCGCGTTTTGGTAAATTTTACTGGGCAGCGCTCAATTTGTCATTCCACCGAATCTCTAGCTATCTATGAACATGAACATGATAGCCTGAAGTCCCCAGGTAAGGTAAACTATAAATATACAAACCAAACCGTGTGGTATAGTTTACTAATGTCCGAGACAGACAAATGTCTGGATGGGGAAAATGTTTGTGTAGGTTTATAACCTACACAAACCTATCACCCGTTAACAACTTTCATGAAACTGAACGAAACAAAAACAAAACTACTGGTGTTAGGAAAGATCCATGTTTTTAAAAAGTGTGAACTCAGTGTCAGACTGCAAAGCTGGAGACAGCTGGAAGAGTTTAGGTGTCAGATTTTATGAAACTTTAAGTACAGAAAGACAGATCAATAATGTGAAAAGGAAATGTAGCTGGACAATGATGAACCTAAAACATAAAAACTTTTGGTCGTTACCTGGATGAAGGCATTAAATTGATATATGGTGAAACAACTGGTTATATCTAAATCATTGGCGTAACGTTGCCTGTACTGCACCTGGTTACCTTGCATTACTGGATGTGGATTGTGGATGTAGTGGATACAGAACTTTCAAACACCATGACCAGGTCGAAGAGACCGGGTGAACATCTCATGCTGAAGATACCCAAGAATAAAAAGTCCTAAGTTGATGACAGACTTTTCTCAAGCCATGCACCGGTTGTTCACATAGCCATGTGTATACCTATAACGACATTGGACTCGAGCACGACATAGAAGAACCAAGAAATAATTCTGACCTTACAATATCTGAACCCCACTGCCAACACTTTCTTGACATGGTTATCAATAACCAACTCAAAATTCTTAATGGTCGTACCCTTGGGGACACCACTGGAAAAATGACCTGTCACAAATACAATGGAAGCAGTGTGGTTGACTATTTTGTAATCACCTCATGGGCAAGAGATCATGTAAACTCTCTCCAAGTAAAAGAGTTTACATCATACTCTGATCATTGTCCATTAGTCTTGAAACTCACTACATTTGAACCATTTGTCGCAAACTTCCAGCTCCCAGACTTTTCTAACTTTCCTTGTGGCTATAAGTGGGATAGCAACACCTCCCATTCACTATTTAAAAAAGCCCTTACCTCGCCCGAAATTATCAACAATCTGGAAAGCATTGTGACAAATGAATTTAGCAGTACTCTGGAGGGCAATCACGAACTGAACGATGCAGTCATAAAATGTCTCCACAGTGCTGCTGATATAGCCTTAAAAGTGAAAAAGCCTCCCAAAAATTCTGCCCGTAAGAAATGGTTCGACCCACAAGTCAACTCCTCGCGGCGGAACCTAAATAGGCTAGCAAACCGGCTTGGTAGTAAGCACTGTAACAGTATCCTCAGACGAGAATACTTTAAGCAACGCAACAAGCATAGCAATTTTGTAAACAGTAAGAAAGTAGCTTTCCTTAAGAAGTTAAATGAAGCTATAGAAGAAGGTCACATACTCGACTGGAAAAAATTTAAACGGCTTAAACAAGAACATGACACTAGCCCCTTACTTGACAAATTTGATTTAGCTAGCTTCCATGACTTCTTTGCATCCCTTTATAAAAAACCAGACCAGGAGCCAGATCTCACTCACCACAATCACAAACATTACCCTGAACCACCAGATCTGGATATCCTAAATAAGCTCATGTCAGAATCTGAAGTGACCTCTGCCATCAAAAATCTCAAAAAAGGTAAAAGTTGCTCAAACGACTTGATATCCAACGAGATGCTTCAGAGCGTAACTCCGCTTTGTCTCAAAGCCATCCTCAAAAACTTCAACCACTCACTGGTCTCTGGTTACTATCCATGGCACACCAGCATCATTACTCCTATTTACAAGTCTGGCAACCCTTTCAGCCCGGACAACTACAGAGCAATAGCTGTTGGTAGCTGTATGGGTAAACTATTTTCTAGCATCTTACTTGAGCGTCTCCTGCACTTCAAAAAGCTCTACTGCCCTGACCCAAAAGAACAACTAGGGTTCTCGAAGGGTGCTCAAACAAATGACCACGTTTTTACCCTTAAGACAGTCATCGACAAATATACCAAGGTCAAGAAAGCTCGCCTCTATGCATGCTTTGTTGATCTAAGAAAGGCCTTTGACACTGTATGTAGGGACCTCCTTCTGCACAAAATCACATGCCTTGGAATAACTGGAAACTTCTTCAATTGCCTAAGTGATATGTATAGAAACTCAATAGCTCATATAAAAATCTCCAAACTCTTGTCCCCTAATATTGACATTGGAAAAGGAACAGAGCAGGGACACCCCCTATCACCGGACCTTTTTAAAATCTATATCAACGACTTGTCATCTCTCCTGAAATCTGTTGGTGATTATCCTATTCTAGCTGACGTCCTAATATCACATCTGCTCTGGGCTGACGATCTTGTCCTACTTGCCCTAAGTCCCAAGGCCTTGCAAGACAATATAAACATCCTATTCGACTTCTGTAACTCTATGGGCCTTGAAGTAAACATTAAAAAAACCAAGATTCTCATATTCTGCCCTCCTAAAAGAAAACAATCCTATGAAACATTCATTTTGGGAGGCCAGCCCATCCAACACACCGAAAAATACTGCTATCTTGGCATTATATTCCACAGAAATGGATCTTTTACAGCAGCAAATACCGAACTGAGGGCCAAGGCTCTCCGTGCTCTCTATGGCCTCAAAGGCAATATCGTCAAAGATGCCCTCTCTCACCGTTCCCTAAACATTCTATTTGACTCTCTAATAAAACCGATACTGCTCTATGGCTGCCAAATCTTATGTCCTCACTCAAAAACCATGAGATACCTCTCCAAAACAGATAGCAAAGCCAACCCCCAGCATACTCTCAGGTACATCTCACAAGACCACTATGAAAGATTCCACCTTAAGTTTATCAAGTGGTCCTTGTCTGTCCATTCAAAAGCATCAAATATAGGCTGCTGGGGTGAAAGTGGGCGCCACCCCCTCTTCTTTGAAGCCTGCAAACTTGCAATAGATTTCTATAGTCGTCTTGAAAGCACTGAAAATGAACTTCTCTCCGCTGCATTTCACGAGCAGATTATGCTGGGCCTTCCTTGGTACACCAACATCTCTAATCTTCTCACCAAATATAACTTCCCCCACTCATCCTCTTCAAAATCCAAGCTCTCTACCCAAATCAGTCACAACATGAGGGAAGAATTTGTGGATACCTGGAAATCTGCCAAGGCATCCTCACCTAAATTAGAATTCTACAATCAAATTAAACATGATTTTGAACCAGAAACATACTTAGGAGTGGTTAAGATCCCCGATGCTCGGAAAAGCTTAACAAGGTTTCGTATTAGCTGCCACAATCTTTACATTGAGAGGGGCCGTTACGAAACCCCCCTAGTACCAAGAGAACATCGATGGTGCACTTTTTGCTTTTTCAGCAAGGGGCTTAAGCCTATTGAGGACGAAATTCATGTTCTAACTGACTGTTTACTCTACTCCTCAGTTAGAGAAAAATTTAACTTCCATCCCAAAAATATTACTGACCTAGCCGGTTTGCTATCCGATAAAACACTAGACCCTACAAAATTTACTGCCACAGCAAGAGCAATCCATTCAATTCTCTCTGTGAACGAAAATTTTACAGCCTACTATAAGAGCCCAGATTTCCACTCAAATACTGGCCAATGCATAATGCTATAGGACCTCAAAAATAGTATTATAAAACATTTCTATTTTATCCCTACACATTTGTAAATAACTAGAATTGTGTAACCTTAAATTATTTCAGAATTATAACTATTGTGAATTCAATAAAATAATTATCACTTTTGTATCCTTGTATCCTTGTATCCTTGTATCCTACGCGTACTGCCTTCGGCGGTCGCGCGCTACTGCAAGCGAGAGGGCTCTGATTAGAGCAATACTGGTTGTATTGCACGGACAATGGAACTCTCTTCCACTGATGTTGAGATGTATTAATGATACCAACTGTTTCAAGCGAATGTTAAAGAACCATTTATATAATCAGTTTTGATGTTTTTTCTTTCTATTTGTCTTCACTTTGCAAGACACCTTGGCTTTTATTTTTTACTGCATTCCATTTTATGTCTTGATCTCTACCTTTCTAGGATCTGTTTCTATTTTGGTTGATTATGTCACAGTACTAACCTTTATTATACCTACATGTATTGTATGGTTTCTGCTGTGGTTTACAATGAAAGATGTTTTAATTTTCAATGCGGCACTCAGGTTCTTGGTATTGTCGTCGGTATATTGTCCATTATCTGCGTTCTGTTTTCATAGTTTCAATAATAGTGAGTTCTAAATATACAGCTTTAAACCGACTATGTATGAATGAATGAAATACCTGTCAATCCGCACTCCTATAACTCAAAAGCATGAGTAACTCGTAATAGTATAATTCTTAAAAACTTAAATTAAATTTGGCGCTCACAGGTCCTCGTGATCACGTGATCACCGCGTAAGGTTTTGTAAATGCACGGCGCACCTTCAAGCTTAAATTATTCACCTTACTGAGTGAGCCAACTAATGCGAGGCTTTATTTCTATGATATGATATGTTTTAATTGTTATTAATAAATACTAAACTTTAAAACTTGTTTTCCTAATTTTGTCTTAGTTTTATAATGAGTTATACTTTTGTTCACTTTTACACATTTTCTCACATTTTCTCACATCACTCACAGTCATATCAGCCGCTCTGACATGGTTAACCACCTTCCTTGTGTTGTTGGTTAATCATATGAGCGGGATATAAATACCTCATTTTATTCAAAAAAATCTAGTTACAGACTTGCAAATGCTACTGGTGGCTAGGAAAAATTAAACTAATATTTTTTATAAGTATGGCATGACAAATAAAATTATTACACATATATAATACATAATTTAATCAACATCATGCATTGATAAACATTTTAAAAATTAGTCAAGTGCTTGGCTATCATATTTTCTTGTTCTTGCGCATATAATTAGGAACTTGTCTAAGTATGCTTTTTAACACAAAAATGACACAAATTGCCATCAAGGTATACATATATATAAGTCAAACCTGCAGCTGCCCAAGCTAGAGAGCCATGGCCAGCAAGCAAGGCCGTGACCAAAGCACACTGAGCCAACTGGGTATAAAAAATCTTGATTTCTATAAGGAAGGTTTTGATCTTGTGAACGTATTGTCCTGACTCCTGTGTATTGAAGGGGTTAATCAGTTAAACAAAAATTTCAATTTTATGCCATTTATTACAGAGTAAACAAGTTTACAATAAATCAATTTGATATTTAAAGGAATCCTAATTCAATGTGTAGTATGGTTGTCACTCTTTGAATAGATTAGATATAGGTTGACGGGGCAAAGGAGTGTGCGTGCTGTTCGCTATTGCTCACACCAAACGGCAACCTAGTAAATGTTTTCTATGGACACTGGTCTCCATCACGATACAAAATTAAAATTGTAGAATTTATTGTATAACTATTAGTGCAGTGGAGGTAGCGGGGTGGTGCATTAATAGAGTGACAGCCTACTGATTTAGAGTTGTTTGGCATCAATCAATTAAACAATTGAATGTAAGTCATTAGTATAATATGTTCTGAGAGCAACAATGGTGAGTCCGGCATGATCAAGGTGAGCAGTAAATTGGATCATCTTCGTCTATCAAAAACAGGTAAAGCTGAAAAGAGAGCAAGGGTGCCGCCAGTTGGTAGCTAAAGTAACTGACCATTAGAGTCTGTGTGACTGGTGCTGGTTGCTAAGCACCGTGCTGACGGCCCAACAGAAGGTGGTAAGTCTGTGAGGGAGATGATCTGACTGTTGCGCATAAAAGCTACGGGGGATCATAGAAGTCTAGGTACTTCGAAATAAGCGCAAATTTAAGTATAAGTTTAGGAAATGCAAGGGTGTGGAATATACCTTTTTTGATGATCCATCTGGTTAGGAAGTGTTCTGTAGTTTTTACTTCCTCTTCACATTTGTTGCAGATGTTAGTCGGTTCATTACCTATCTTGTTTTGGAAGTATTTAAAATAACTGCATCCAGTATAGAGATGAGTTAGAATTCTAGTGTTATCTTTTGATTTTGATAAGATATTCAAATTATGGGAGAAGAGAGTCAGGATGTTGTTGTGGTGGAAGTTGCTGGCTGTCGTGAAGGTCAAAAGTCTGGCCAGGTGAAGGGACTTGAATCGAGTGTCAAGGGAGTTGATGATACACGTTGATGCATTGAAAATCCTACCGGTAGGACAAATTCGAATTTCATCTTTCCGTGACCCAAATTTCACTTTTTTGACTAAATTTTTCTTAAATGACCATCTTACAAGATCACTGAGGATGGCACAAGACACGATTAAGGTACTCGAAAAGTTCTATTCCCAGAGAAAGCTTAAATGATAAACGGAAAATCATCATAATATAAAAAGAAATTTTGGAAGATTTTTGAAGAGGAACTTTTCTGCCGTCCCCTTGACCGAAATTTCGGAGTTTTTGACTGAATTATTGACCAGTGACCAATCAGTGAGGATAGGGTGAGTGACTCAAGTCTCCATCGAGGTACTGAAAGTAGTTTTTCCGGAGAAAACTTTTATGAAAGGAAAATTATGAAAATGTCTTACGTTACTAAAGTAAAGTAAAGTAAAATAAAAATTATGACATAACATCATCACTAATGTCTACAAAGTATCACCGCACTATGAGTCTCAGAAATGTGTTTTTGTTGGTTACAATTCTGTCCGTCCAATTTCCTATCTGCTTGTTCTTTTCATTTTTCTTTATCAGTTGTGACGGAATTGTAATGAACAAAATCCTTATAATTATTTATGATATGTTTGATTTCTTGTTATTGTTTGTCATTCAAATTTGGTAGACGGCCCCAACGTTAATGTGGCTCTTGCTATGTGTTGGTTCAGCCGAATTAATTATTATGTAATCAAGTTTATTTGTCTCGTTAGTTGTCATCCGGCCAAACATTAAGCAACTTATATTGCAGTACCATTTATCAATTAGTATATCAAAATATGTCATTGTAATTTTGCATGGCTGAAATGTAACGCTTGATTTATATATATAATGATTAATTGAATTTTCAAATAAAATTTAAAAAAACATGGAAAAATAACTATTTCTCCATTAAATTTTAAAGTAATAATTTATCAAATATTAATCATGAATAAAAACAACATTAAAAGATTTAATTTATTCATACTTCCCAGTGGAGTAAAGATTTATAAAACGTTTCTTTGCTACATAAGAATGAAACCACAGAAAATCATTGTGTTTTTCCTTATTACTGATATAACTGGTACCTTCAATTCTTGTTAAAACTTCTTTCGAAACATTCCAAAAATGAAAGTCATTTACAATACATTTAGAAATCATATTATTTTTAAAACTTTCCAATCCAATTTTAAAACTCAAAACTGTCAAGCAGTTCTTCACCTCCGAAGGGAGTTTGTTCCAATAAGAAACAACCCGCTCTGGAAGAAAAGAACACTGGAGATTCTTGACCTTTGTCAAACTCTTACTATATCTATTGGATGAAACCAGATTAAGACCTGATCTGCTTGGTCTGAACAAGTCTGAACCATAATCAGTCAAACCATTAATAACCTTAAAAGCTTCAATAAGGTCTCCACGTATTACTGGTACCGACATTTTGAGGTTTTAGCTTTCCTTGTCCCAAATAGCTATGATAATACTCTAATTTTATTGCACACACAGTACTACCCAATTAACCGATTAACAGTAAACCCCAACAATAACAACAACAAACAAACAACAATTCTTTCTATTAATGTTTAAAATTATTTTTATAGAATGGTGAATGTTAGTTCAAATGTAAGAGACATAACACAGCTGGACAGATACGACCAAAATAAGGTATGACACAGTTTTTTTTCGTTTAATAAGAACAAGATCCCATTTTTCTTGTAATTTTATTCAACTAAATATTTTCATCAGCTTCTGTCTTATTACAGTCGTGCTAAATGCATTAACTATTTCAGTTTAAGCTACATTCCAGTATACGATGGCTGTTCAGCTTTATACCTTCATACCACAAAGATAAAGTGAAGAACAATGTCCGGAATAATCTAGACTTTCTTCAGTTACCTCCTAAAACTATAGCAGTGAGTAACTAACTTGTTTTGCATTTGTTTTGCATGCTGTCATGACTCATGTCATGTCGTCATGAACAGTCAAGTTTCATGTGCATTAAGCTGTTACACACGTCAGTTCACACAACATGAAGAATTTAATTCCTTGACTCATCATTATGGAATTATGATGACTTTACAGATTGATAGCGGTTAACTGGGATTATGGAGGGAATGAAATTTAAGTAATTAAATTCAAAATTACATTTGAGGGACTCAGATTTACGACAAAGGCGTCCTTTTAAATATTCGGCAGAACTCCCAAAAATCGATTTTCGGGTTTTTTGGAAATCCCCTTTTATATGGCCTATTTTCGACAATTTAACTGTGCTTGTTCTAACAATTGACATATCAGTTTTAACCTTAAAGTGTAGTAGGTTCAGATGTACTTGTGTCCATTTGATTTTAGCTTTCTTGTAATAGCTTGATAAACTTAATTTTATTACAACTACTACAAATTACCGATAACATAACAAATCTCTAAAAAAACATACATTCTTGTTTTTTTTCAAAAGATTAATTTATCATGGTAGAATGTAGTCTCAAATGTAGAGTTAATCACGCTTAGATCGACCAAATAAGTATGACACAGTTTTTGTGTCGTTTAATAAGATACAAGATCCCATTTTCTTGTAATATTTATCACTTATTTTTCATCAGCTTCTGTCTTATTACATCGTCGCAGCATAACTTTTCTCAGTTTAAGTAATCGTATAGAGGCGTCAGCTTTATACCGTAACCACAAAGAAAAGTGCAGAACATATGTGGAATTTCTAGACTTTCTTCAGTTTCCAAATAACTATAGACATGTGGTAAACTAACTGATACTGCATTTGTTTTCTATCTGTCATGTCTCTGTATGTTCCAGTCGTCGAAGCTCAAGGTCATGTGCTTACTGTTAGCACGTACTTGCACACACTGGTTATTCTTGACTCTATTAGAATTGTGTTACAAATTGAACGGTTAACTGGAATTAGGAGGAATGAAATTAAGTAATTAAACAAAATATTGGGTTTCAAAAGGCAGATTTGCCTTTTACAATATCGGAATAGAAAGGTTTCGTTTCTAAAATCCCCACATGTACGACAATTTCCTAGGTGGTTAAAAGTTGATTCCACGATTAAAGATTAGAGTAGATGGAGCTGTGTCAGTATCAGATTATAACTCACTTGAAGTTGAGTCAAAATTGACAATGAAGTATCTTAACAATGTCGCAATAATAAAATCTACAAAACAGTACATCCTTCTGTATTTTCTTGATACCCATCGTTCATAACGACCTTAGTTTTAATCTTATTTTAATAAGTTGTTGTGCAAATCGTTAAACTCGGCTTACTGTATTGTACGGTCCGCCGCGATTGATGCAGTTTTTGCGTAGGTCTTTCTGTAAAAAATTCCGGCAGAGTTTTCTCGTTTGTAAACTGATAGGCCCCGGGTAGCTCATCGACGTAACCTAAACAGTCATCGCCATGAAACATATATTTGCATCCTACAGTTTTAAATAACCAAACTATTTTTGGTATTAAACGTTAAACGTGAGTTTGCTTTCTGAACGTTGCAACTGTTCTTACGTATGGTTATCAGATCAGGGCTTCAGATAGTCTCTGTAGCAAACTTGGCATGCACCGTGTTTTATAAAACTGTTTAACAAATCAACGCTCTACAGTAAACTTCAAACTGTGTGTTATACAACTTAAGGAACAATAACAGTTAACACATATGTAACTGTGTTACTCACAGGGGAGCGCTATCTGGAGAGATGTGATCGCACTGCTGGTGTCCTGTGAAGCCTACAGGTGCGCTTCTCTTGCTATATTCGGGGCTCCAGCCCCACAGAACCACTGGCAAGTGATACAGGTACGTGTGGAGGGGTCATTGGGTTTAGCTACATTGTGGTGTTGTATTATATATTTATATATTATAGATTTTATTAGCATACATATTACATAATTAATGAACAGCGTAGTACTCTATATGGGGTATACCACAAGCTGCGTCTCATTATTGCTTGATGAAAAGCAAAAATAGCTTCAAATCATATGCTGCCGATAACTTAATAGATGTAAGATTGTTCTGAGAGTGTCAAGCTCCGTGATAAGCTGGAGCCTGGATGTTATACACTTTTAGTAGTTCATTAATTAAAATATCAATCTACAGAAGTTAGCAAGACACGGATTCTACGTGGTGACAGAAGATGGCACGGGGGTAATACAGACTGCACTTCTGACTGCTAACCCTTTTAATCAGGTAATACTTCCCACCTACCTTACATTAAGAAGATTGTTGCCTAAAACACTGATTGTCGAGTGGTTTCAATCTATAATCTCTCCTAATTATCAGTAACTTGTGTCCACTCCCAGGCCAGTCACATAGCAATGATAGACTGTCTGATGCAGGCTTATTCCTGTCGTCTCGTCACCATCCCTCGTGCGGTGGCAGTTGTCAAGTAAGTACAACTTTTGGCACATTCAATAATATTATGATCATTGCTGGTATAAAGATGTGCCAAGTTTTTCCTATTTCAAGAAGTCTAGTTTCATGTTTCAAACCTAAGCGATCTGTTACAGGAAGATAGGTACATTCAACGCCTCACAAGAGCTGCCCTACGATCTAGAGGACTCCCTTGTTCTTTGGATAAACAAGGTATGCAAACAATTACAGAAGAAGCATTTTGCATGGTCACAAAAATATGTGACGCAACGTTTTAATTATGAATTTACTAAGCACTTAATAATCTCAAAGACTAACCACACAATATATTCAAACCAAAAACTGCAAAACTGCAAAACAAAACTCTTTTTAGATCTGCCAAAAAGTAAAGAAAGGTTTGAATGAAGCGGTGACAATAAAGAAGCAGAACTTAAAACAGGGGCTAGTTCACCCTTCTGCTACTCTGCTGCCTCCTCACATACCTTGTAAGATAACTGTAGATTATTTAAGTAGACCGTAATAGATCATTTATTTTCATTTTTGTTTTCTGTTTTATTTTCAGTTTTGTGAGATATTTTGCAAATTCAGTACTTTTTAATCAGATTAATTGTTTACTAATCAGAAATATAGGTGTTGGAACAAACGATATCAATAATTCATAAAATCCCATCAGTTGTTGAGGACCTAGTGCAGGATATAGGAGATGGACAATGTTTAGGAGTACTAACTCACCACTATCTGCCTAACGATCTACCCCTTGAAGGTTACCTTAAAATTTCATATTATATCGAGAATTTTAGTATTAAAGAATTGTTATATAATAGTGATTTTCCCACTGTATCTTTCCCAAAGATCTAACAGAATTTGTTCTTCTCAGCGCTAAAGTTTGGCAGCACTCTGCCCCAGTGTGATAAAGCATCGAACTTGGGTGCAGTTAGGTTCGCTATAGTGACAGAGCTTGGAGCGTCCTGGTTCCCTTTAAGCGTGGAAACTTTCCTTAACCCCAGCTTCGTTACCAAGACTAATGTTATTGTGTTCATCAGTGAACTCTTCTGGAAATGGGAGGTGAGGAAAAAAGCAAAAAAGGGGGAAAAGAGGGGAAAAGGAAAAGGTTTTATCCTGACTGGTCAAGAATTCCTCACCATTTGATATAGTATCATGTACATAAGACTGTATAATGTCACTATTTTCATGTACCTGGTATTATAACCACACACGTCATGTTCCTCAACTCAGTTACTGTTCAGGTAAAAGGGACAAGTAGGAACGAATTTAGCTCTGAGTGCTGGCTGAAGGAGGATGAGAGGTCAGGTGAACCAGATATGAACTGTGCTGCTGCAGCTACAGAGATATCACAGCAGCTAGAGAAATGCCCGGTATGAGTTTAAAAGTTAAATAATATGCTATATTACCATAATATATCATAAAACATTGCCATATTATATAAAAGAAAGTTAAGGTAGGGGACAAGTTCATTGAAATACAAGAACAATAATGTTCGTGTTGCTTGTTATCAATCTCAATGTGATGTACAGTTAGAAGCATCACGACTCCCAAACTTTAACACCCATTTCCTGATTACCTTGTTTATTTCAGGTGTCATTGGAACCGATCACAGGTCGTCTGGAGTCCAGTTCTGAGTCATCTTCAGATGAGTTAGATCAACCCTTACTTCCGATAATAGAGATTGTTCCTGATCTGTGAGTGTAGTTTTATTCTATGTAATCTAATCGTTACCTTTAAAACAGATCTGGATTATGTTTATGAGTACCTAATTTTGACTCACTCTAAGTGAGTCTCGGATTATGAGTATATACTCGAGTATAAATGACCTCTTTAGTCCCGACCTTAAGATTTGTTCCTTTGAAGCCCATAAAATATAAACCCGTTACAGGCCTGAGAAGTTAATCCCTGAATTGGGACAAAGAGAGATAATAAAATACACAGAGCTGCCGAACGTGGAGGAAGAAGGGGAGGAGGAAGACTCAGCTATATCCAGTCAAGATGAAACAGACCTGCGTCCTAATAAGTACTTTGATCCTGCCGACTCCTCTGCTCTGATACAGTCCACTGTAACGGGGTTTACTAAGAGCTCACAGAGTCTCGGGAGTCTGGATCAGATGATCGCTGAAGCTAAGGAAGGTTCGTGAGATTTTGTTCAATATTCCTAAAAGTTTTAGGACTGTAGGAAATTTAGCAACTTTCTATTTGTTATCCTCGTATTGGTAACCTATTTAATGCCCAGAACTGAAAGCAGAAGATGAGAGTGTAATTGTTAATGGTTATATTGGAACTGGACCCACCCCACAGTCACTCCGTAGGTTACACAAAGCTACAGAAAGTGTGGACTCTACCAGGTAGTCACAGTATTCCTTCTCCATCCATTCTAGGATTAAATCGGGGTTATACTTGAGATCCTGATTTGAAGAGCAATTCTTAAGTAATTATCAAACAATATTTTAATCGAATTCGGAGCTATCTCCTAACCATCCAATTTGTCCCAGTGAATCAGAATCGTCTAGCGATGACGAAGAAGAAGACGCTAAGATCGTACCCACAAAATCTGAACCTCAACCAGCTGAAGAACCGCCTGTCCCAAGTAAAACTACACAGCCGGACCCGCTGGCTGGTGCGGGGTTGGTTTCAAAGTCGTTACCTTCCCGGCCTGGAGAGGTGAGGTTTCAAATATAAGGGAGGGGTTGGCGACAGTCAAAAGTTCGGAAATTTTGATTGTCCAACTAACCGAATATATGAGTAATTGAAAAATCAGAATTAATTTTTTATTTATCTCAATAACGTAATAATTTTTCAATTTTATCATTTTGAATTGTTTTCATCCCCTGCAGGTGAAGAGAACACATGTACGCAGGAAGAGCGGAGAAGAAATAGTAGCGGAGATGAAGATGGCAGCAGAAGAGAAAAGGGAATTCTACGTTAACATTGCAAGATGGGTAGACACGGTGAGCTTTTATTTCATAAAGAAACGTATCAGCTCTTGTTTAAGCTACATACGTTTTGGGTTATATAAGTATATTGTTGGTGTCGATAATAATAATTATAAGTGGCTGGATAGCAGCCGGATAGTGGCCGGATAGCAGCCTGATAGCAGCCGGATAGTAGCCGGATAGTAGCCGGATAGTAGCCGGATAGTAGCCGGATAGTAGCCGGATAGTGGCCGGATAGTGGCCGGATAGTAGCCGGATAGTAGCCGGATAGTAGCCGGATAGCAGCCGGATAGCAGCCTGATAGCAGCCTGATAGTGGCAGGATAGTAGCCGGATAGTGGCCGGATAGTAGCCGGATAGTAGCCGGATAGTAGCCGGATAGTGGCCGGATAGTAGCCGGATAGTAGCCGGATAGTAGCCGGATAGTAGCCGGATAGTAGCCGGATAGTAGCCGGATAGTAGCCGGATAGTAGCCGGATAGTGGCCGGATAGTAGCCGGATAGTAGCCGGATAGTAGCCGGATAGTAGCCGGATAGCAGCCTGATAGTGGCAGGATAGCACCCGAATAACGATTCGTTATCAGTATTAATCAATGCATTTGCATTTTTCAGGTTGAGAAAGAATGCAAGCCGAAGCCGATCTCAGCAAGCGAACTAACGACCAACATATCCAAAACAATCGAGACTCACTTCTCCAAACCCCCAGCAGTAGGAGCTAGCTTCACTATACTGAAAGAGGACAAGTCTGAAGCTCTGAGAAGAGGAATTCCTGTTATTGAGAATATCCCCGTTACTCCTGCTCCCGCTCCTCCTCTCAAGATCAAGGTGGGATGTTATCTTGATACTATCTTATTCAGTATCTTGTGGCTGTATCCTGATATTGTTTTAATTCTTTTCTTTATTATTAACTATTCTTCGTTAATCTGATCAAATAAAAGTCACAATCACTCACAATCCCAAATACTTTAAATCCAATTCAAGTACAATCCCAATCAATCACAATTCGACTCAATTAAATCCCCAACGTCTTAAAATGCCGTTCAGTTGAAATCCCAATTATTTTTAAAGTGTAGTAGAAGGGGTAAACTGATAAGCAACTCCCTTGCGCGAAATGTACACAATTTTGTTAATGTCAACGCATCAGTTCAACAATTTTCTCTCAACTTTTCACAGTTCCTCCAGTTTTACAGTTCTGTATCACCGGCCTCCCTTGATCTTCAGGTTCTACTGTTTCCAGCTCATTACCCTCACTAGAACCGTCCCCAGCCCGACGAAACAACACACCAGAGAAGAAGCTGGTGATAGTGTCGTGATAGATAATAGGATTTAGGACTGAGTTGAGAGGTAGTGTTAGCATTGCCAAGGTTACGTACCAATCAGTTGCATCAATAATACTCAGGTTATGAAGAGTGCTGATGATGATGACAGGCACCCAACAGATACAGTTTGCTACGATGATGGTTGGGATCCTTCGTCCTATTTTCTCTATCAGCTCTGATGCCTTAGGATCGTGATCCTCCTCTATTTCTTCAGGAGAACTATTGCGGCTCTTCATGTAACACACAATATAAGAGACAGTGATCACTATGACACATGACAGGTTGACAATGAGAATACTCCACGTGAATATACTTTCTGTTCCGGTGTGTAGGAAATTATCCCACGTGTAGGTCTTGAAGACGTGTATGTCCAGAGCGGTGATGTTTGCTGGCTCCAGGTCCCTACTCCTTCTTGCATCATCACTTTGTAGAAAGTATTTGAACAAGCACACACCATCGTTTCCATAGAAATGGACCGGGCGCTTCACCATGAATCCATACTTCCAATACCAGTTTTTACTAAACATTCCATCCACCAACTTACCAACACGTTTCCATGTCATATCATATGAATGATATGAATCATGATCATTACTGCCGTAGTACGCTTTCAGTATATTGAAATGCTTGGCTTTATTTGCGATACCGACAAGAAGCTTGTTGTCATCCTCGTAGTAAAGTTCCTGTACAAAGTAGTCCTCCAAAGAAGGTATCAAGGGTATCACAGCGACACTCACAGAAACAGCTACAATTCCAGCAACTAAACCACATGTTACCATGGTTACAACACTTGTTACAAATTTTATAACACTTGTTACAACTCTTGCACCACTTGTTACAACTCTTACAACTCTTACAACTCTTGCACCACTTGTTACAACACGTACTTTCCTCTTAGTCTTGGTACATCGTGGAAGGAGAAGAGACTTCCTGAACATTCCGACCACTCTGAAGAGGCTGAGGGCAGTGATTGTTAAGAGGGATATTTGTAATCCTACCGTGCTTATAACTCCTAGCACTTTACACTCCTTCCCAGTAAACCATGCGGCCTGTAACTTACAGAAGCTCTCTCTAAACACAATACTGTCGTATACAGATATTGTAACCAGGTAAATCCCCACTAGGAGGTCCCCGCACCCCATTACGCTGGCTAACACCTTGTCGTAGAAGACCAAGAGGCAGCTGGGCTCTCTTAGAGACCACAGACCTCTGAATACAGAAACAGTGTTGAAAATAACAGCGAAGATGCCCATGGACCAACAGATGGCTTTCAGAAACCAGGACCCTAGTATTTCTCTACCACAGGATGCATTGCACTCGTCAGAAAGGTCGAAGCAGTCGTTAATACCATCGCACGTTTGTGCTTTACTGATGATCTTTGGCCTCGGCGAATGAATAGTGTTCTCACAGATCACGTGATTGTTGCAGTTGAGCTCATCGCTCATGTCACCGCAATCATCTCGGAGGTCACACACTTGCTTGTACTCTATACAACGACCGTTATCGCACTGCAAGTAATCCTGGTGGTAACCTCCTTTATTATCTGATTTTGTAACGAATGTAAGGTAAGAGTTGTCAGTCAGAGTGAAGACTCTATTTGGATACTGTCCCGGGCATGAGTCGTGTGTTAATGCTTTGTTATCATTGAGAGGGCACGTTGTGTCCTCACAGAGGTTCATACAGCTCAAATACAGGTAATGTTCTCCAAACAGACCAGTGCAGGAAGTTGGAGAGGTTGGAACAGATATCATGGTCTTTGGAACCCCGAATATATCAACTCGGCGTGGTCCTTCAAACTGTCGGACTTCATAGTTCGAGGACTGGCATAGATTCAACGCTGTTCCATGTTGTACTTGTAGTAGATCTGCTACAGAGAAGCTAATTGCTGGAAGATCTCTTGCTACTCTGCAAACCTCTGACCCGCATGATTCTACACCGTTACAGAGATCATTTAAGTGGACGTACCCTCTATCCTCTCCCGGACACAAGAACTCATTTTGGAGGGTTGGAGGGTTGTTGGAGGGTTGTGTTACAGGGGGTTTTGTTATTGGGTTTGGTGAGTTCCGGGTTGCTACTGCAAAGGTTGTTGTTTCAGAGGTTTCAGTGTTAGGGGTTGCTGTTCCAGAGGTTTCAGTGTTAGGAAGTGTTTTTTTAGAGGTTTCAGTGTTAGAGGGTGCTGTTTCAAAGGTTTCAGTGTTAGGGGGTCCGGTTTCAGAGGTTTCAGTGTTAGAGGATGCTGTTTCAGAGGTTTCAGTGTTAGAGGGTGCTGTTTCAGAGGTTTCAGTGTAAGAGGGTGCTGTTTCAGAGGTTTCAGTGTTAGAGGGTGCTGTTTCAGAGGTTTCAGTGTTAGGGGCTGTTGTTTTAGACGATGTTGCATCCTGGGTTATGAAACAGTCCCCGTTATCCACACTGCATTCCTCTTCACATTCTATATATTTGTGTTTTCCATCCACTTTTGTAGGACAGAGATATCCCCCGCAGAACACTTCGTTATTTGTTATCGTACTATTTGGGACCAGTGGAAGTCTCCAATCAATGTTAAACCCACACACCTGATAAACCTTCGTGTCGTTCTCACACTTCTCAGAAACACCAGCTAATCTCCAAACCTCAGTATGTACACCAAACCACAGTGTTGGTAAAATTAGTGCTGGACGTTGCTGTATGTTGTAGGAAACATCAGCGTAAGCACACTTGTAGGATATTTGTTGACTAGTATCGTTAAAACAGGTGTGTTTGAGGAACCCCCTAGAGTTAACTATTGAGCAGTTCCCCCCTGATTCCCTTATCTCCTGCACCATCTTGTAGTCTACACAATGATCACAATAACACATGTCGGTGGTAACACATTTCCCCCATTCCCCACAACAGGATTTCTCCGCATCAGGATCGCACTCTGAAGCACTACCGTCAGGCTGAGAGAAAAAACTGCCACACCAACCATCTCGTCTCCACGTCTTAACCCCTGCTGTAGAATGTATGATTTCATCCATTTTTAGAAGACCTAATCTTGTTAAGTTTTTAGGGCATAAGAGAAATAAGAAAATGAAGTGAGTAAATGAAACAAGTCTTTAAAATAATGGCAATGCTTCGATTTTCCAACCACACAATCGCTGAGCACTTACCTGGACAACTTTGAGCATATTGAATTGAACCTGTTCCTTCTGTCCCAAATTGGAATTTGACCGTGTTAATACTGTTTAAAACTGCTCTTTGGCAGTAGTATCCGTTTCGTAATCGTATGGCATAGTGATCATTATCTGGAAGATAACTCATCAAAAGTCAAATTTATCAATTAGCTGGACTATGAATTTATATTTCCAATTTTATCATAAATTTTAAAAAATGGGAATACAATTTACAGTAGAACCCTATTCAAGAAGAAACACTCACCTCATCACCACATTTGAGCACAAACTCGGACTTGTTAAACTCAAACTTGAACTCCAGTCTCCCTTCCTCATCTGCTTCTGGATAACTAAAATCCATGGCCCACTGTTCATGGATGATAGTTATCCATTGTTTCCTTCGCACTGATAAGCTCCCACGCCCTGGATATAGTCCTATCCGGAGCATCTCTTCGGTATCTGCAGAGAATATGACGTCACCGTTCCAGGTTTCTCTGTTTCCATACCGGGAGTGAGTTCTGGAACTGGATATCACCGTCAGAGTACATGCTGTGCGGTATTCGGTTGGTACTTGGTGTACCGCTGTGAACAAGGCGTTAGTGCCGAGTAATGCCTTCGGGTAGTGCTCCTCAATCAAAAACAGGGTGTCTGAAACAAGTTCCGAAAAATGAGATCATCACTATATACTGTGATTCCACATTCAGAAAGACGGCAGATCGGCAAATACTCGGCAAATTTTGGATTTTTGGAGGAAATTTGGTGCCAAAGAGGACATTTTTAAAAGAAGACCTGACCTTTTTTAGGGCATAATACAATTTTAGGGGGGAAACATTGATCTGTGAGGAAATCTAAACTTTCTGAATGTGGGGTTGACGGTTATTGGACCTTGCCGGGAATGTCTTGCCAAGTCCAACCAGACAACTATTTATGTAGTACAAAGCACTGATATACATATTACAGAAACCGTGTACCTACCTACTGTAGCACTAGCACTTCTAACAGAGATGAAGATTGAGAAAATGAGAAGATTCATCATTTTATTTATCTCGTAACATTCTTCTTTCTGATCGTAACTTGCCGATTAAAAGATCGATGAAATGAACAAGTGAGAAAGGGATTAACAAGTAAAAAATGACAATGCTAGTGGAAAGAGATTAAAAGAAACGAAAGACGGGGATGAAGTGTTAAAGTAGACGAAATTCCGAAATACGAGTAGCTACAGAAAACAAGAAACGGGAACGAGACACACAGGCCAGGGGAATATGGAAGTGAGGGTGGTGACAGAATTACTAAGATATTATCCCAGTGAGGGTGGTGACAGAATTACTAAGATTTTATCCCAGTTTCCCACCAGACTTTCTTCCAGTAATCGAAATCAATCAGAGCTTTGTTTACCATTTGTTTACCTTGTCTACTGATGGCATGATATCCTACTCTGAAAATTGAGAGTAATACTACTGTTACCCCTACAAGAACTGTTTATGGGTTGATCGTGGTGCTGGACGGCCATGTGGGTCAAAATCATGAATAACAGATTTGTTCGTGCCTGGTACTTAGCCTAGGCATGACAAAGGATCTTCTTCGTTCTGTTTGGTCACGTGGTGTGAATACTGTGTTATGATTGGCTGGTTTGTGTCACGTGGTGTGAATACTGTGGTCTGATTGGTTGGTTTGTGTACGTGGTGTGAATACTGTGTTATGCGATTGGATGGTTTGTGTACGTGGTGTGAATACTGTGTTTTGATTGGTTGGTTTGTGCCGCGTGGTGTCTGACCAACAAACAACACACACTTTACAGCTTCGTCTCCGTTAACTCACCAAATAGCAAGTTTGGATATCTGGTATTATCAAAGCTTGGTAACTGGTATAATTGAGAACATCTCACGTGATGCCGAGCAAGGATGGATTATTATCAACATCTCGACTTTTGAAAATAAAAGTAGGATCTTCTTAATCTTACTCCCAATAATGCAGAGTGCGTAGGGCGCGGAACTAATTTGTGGATTACTAATGGTCCGTAGGGCGGGCATACCGCTAATAAATATAATGGGAAAATATAATCCACTCTTGAAAATATCAAATTATTTCTTCTAATGTTGTCACTTATATCTTGGTCACTACTGCAGTACATACAACTAAACTGTTAGTTGCTTTTGAATATTAATCTAACCTCTTCTCAGGGAGACTATCTGATGACAGTTAAAGAGCGGGATGATGCTATCAAGAAGCAACAAGAGGAGGAGGATCGGAAGGTAAGAGGATTTACTATTTCACTATCTTGTGACTAATGAGTTAATTGATTGTTTAATTGGTACACATTGGGTCTATTGACTGGGAAAGTAGCAGGTTTTATCTACGTTGCCACGTGTTTTTGTTAATTAGTTAAATGATCATCTATAATCCCTCTTATAAACTATATTCTCATAGAAACGAGAGGAACTTGACAAGAAGAGACAGCTGGAAGAAAAGCTAGCAGAAGAGAAGAGACAGATCGAAGAAATGAGTGACAGTTCAAACAAGAGTTCGGGGTCCAAGAAAGGGAAGAAAGGAGGTAAAGGGGCAGCTGGTAAGAAAGGAGGTAAAGGCGGGAAGGACACTGCTAAGAAGGAAGGAAAGAGCTTCCCTCGAAGACCAGGAAGTGTTACCTCAAATAGCTCAGCTGCGTAAGTAACTCAACTGTTACATTATTAATGTAATAGATAATGTATGTAACTTACACCCACAACTATTACCCTAGAACGTGGTCAAGAAATGTATTATATACAGTGCCGAACATCATGTTATTTTCCCGTTATTAACTACAGTCTTTGTCAGTTCATCTGCTAAAGGCGGTAAAGGAGCTAAAGGAAAGAAAGGGAAGACTAAGGATGACATGTCGGTGAAGAGTGAGAAGATGACTAGATCAAAGTCAGGTAAGCACAATACACTTAACAATAACAAAAAGTTATCAATTTATAAAAATTAAAATGATATTGTAGAATTTAAACGTCAAGAGCCTTAATTAAGACCTAAGATAATATTCATTTCATTCTTTTCTATTTTCATATTTAACACGTTCCCTTGTTTGATTCGTACTTCTTCTATAATAACATACTTTCAGGTAAAAAAGAGCCAGCAGCCAGCAAACGGCGTGTAAAATCCGCGAGGAGAGCTGGCAAGAGTGTCTCCTTTGTGGATGAGAAGTCTGAATCTGATGCCCCAGAGGTTCCTGCTATTGAGCTGGTTCCTAAGGAGGAGACAGCAGCCAGAGTGGTTCGTGTTTATCTTTACAGTGTAGCAAATCTTAGAAGATATCCCTTAAAGGAGCTGGTTAATCTTTACACCAGAGCAAATCCCGGATGTTTGGAATACACTATGCTTGAAATAGTGTTGATGATGCTTTAAATTAGGATTCAATTATTAAGATTCACTCGTTCAAACTTACCTTTACTCAGGAATGTCCGTTCAAGAAAGACACCCAAGTGATAGGAGAGGACAAGGTAGACCGAAAGAAACTTTCCTATTTTGTCCCTCTAGAAGATGCTGGTGTGGGACTAGGTACGCACTCTTTAGTCTTTACGCACTTTACGCACTTTTTACTCTTTCTCAGTAAACAATCGCACAAATATGGAGTTGTTTAAATTTATATTTATAATGATAAATTTCTGGCAGATCACAAGTCTGTGATATAGCTGTAGATCAAATTAAAAACGTCATGATTTAAACAATTTTATCAGCCGAAATCTTTGACTTCATGACTGGAATACATGCATTGATGCACTTCATTCCTGATAATTAACATTGTTAATCACTCCTCTCTGTAGGGTCAGGGCCGATAGAGAAACGACCACTCTCAGGTTCAGGGTGGCCGGGTGATCACGAGAGTGCCGAGGACAGTTTGCTAGCTGTCAGAAACACTGATTCTGTGAGTTACATTCTTTGGATAGCGCCGAATATCTTATAATAATCATGTTAAGTGTTCAGTAAATTATATACTGTCAATTAATAATTATTAGTTTTACATACGGTATAATATTTATATTACGGAAACTATTGCATAGTTGGGAGTAGTGGAAACGAATTCCTTGTCTCTGACTCATAATCTGAAGTTCAGCCCCAGACCGCCGATTTTCACGAATATGTCACAGATTGTAGCACAATTTTATGACCACTCAGGAAAACAATATTTAATACGTTCAGTTCATACTATTACTACCTGTTTGCTGTACTTTAATATCTTGACCAAAATTGCTTACGTAATTACTAGAAGAAGTTGAACTTCACGACTTACTCGCCTCGACTTAGGGCGGCTTCAACGTCCGAACAGAGATAGTTTTTTCCAAATCTGTCAATCCAGTATGAGTTTGTTTATCTCCTTGCTGTCGTCAAGCCCCGTGTCCCTCCGAAGGATGTCAATATATGTGAGGTGTGGTCTTCAGTTGAACCTCAACGTCTCGTAATAGTTTAAGACAGGTAAGTTATGCGGTCTAGCAAGTAGTAGTTAGGTTATATTTAGGAACCCCTAGTTTTGACTCGACAGGTGTCAGCATCTATGACTCACTGTGTTCAACCTATTGGTCTACCAATAGGTTACTTTCTTACAGAATACTTTCACTTGGACTCAGTAATTGGGCAAATATGTCAATGCCCGATTTTCGAAGTTTCTCATCCATGATTTCATCCGTGAATTTAACATCTTCAATTATATTAGGTTTATTATATACGATTAGCACTTAAGAAAGCATATAAGGTAGACAATTAATCCACTCAATTAATCCACTCAGATCTTTAAAAACCTAAAAATTGGAAAACAAAATATTACTTGAAAACTCGAAACAGTCGTTAATATCCTTTTCGTGATCTTTGAAAACGTGAAGATGATTATTATTCTTTCACAAAAATCTCTTCACCTAAAGTAATATAACTATAAGTAAATCCCTTACCAAATCATTACAAAAGTTCGCGTATCTTCCTAAGTAACCTTGGTCCCCAAGAGAGGAACTCTGTCCTATACCGGGGCATCCTCAATAAGTACAGACACGGGTTGAGGGCAGCGTTCAGAACGTAGGGTAACACCAAGTAAAGGAGATGAGCGGAATTCTGATTAACTGCCGCACTATCAACCATGATCTTAACTGCTGTAATATGTTTAGACATCATGTAGATGAACTGATACACAAAAAGAGGAATATTACAGATCAGGAACAGTGATGTGAACAGGGTAATAGTGACGGACACTTGGCGGGAGATCTTCTTAACATCAACTGTGGAGGATATTGACAACCTCGTCATTGGCTTTGAACTCTTCCTTTCCTCTTTTGTTGACGTCTTAACATCAACTGTGGAGGATATTGAAAACCTCGTCATTGGCTTTGAACTCCTCCTTTCATCTTTAGTTGACGTCTTAACATTAGATATGGAGAAAATTGACAACCTCGATTTTGACTTTGAAATCCACTTTTCCTCTTTTGTTGGCGTCTTAACTTCAGTGCATTCTTGTGCGGCTGCGTTCCTTGCTAGGGTGATGGTGCCAGCAAGGAAACTAACGAACACTACAACTGACGGAATGAACACCTCTATCTCAAACGCTATCCCGAACATAACCTCAGACCAGTTTTCTGTTAGCTTGTATGAACAATAAGAACGTAGCTTGCGGTAGTAAATGGCTTTCATCCACCCACTCGCAAAAAAAACTCCATCAATGAACAACAAGATGAAGGAGTACCCTGCTATCACTGCAATAATCCGGTTCATAGTACACACTGACCTAGCTCGATGGGGTATTATTATGGCAAAACTCCTGGTCACACTCATGACTGCTACTAAAAACATGGATACGCGGAGCAGGAAGTACACGGCGATAGTAAGACTTCCGCATACGAAGGAGTCTGCATATAGCATAGGATCACGGTTGTTTAGCAAGGAAAATATGATAGGAATTGTTGTGATGGTGCATGTCCCGATATCCACAGAAATAACGATGATATAAAGTTTATCTGGGATAGTTTTACGTTCCTTTGACAGGAAGTAAGCGAGTGCAGAGATATTTCCAGCAAGTCCCACTATGGTGCATAGTATCAGCACGGTAGCTATGAGATTGTCTAGCGAAGAGTTGAAATCTTCCGATCTTCTCCCTGCGTAGCGTTCATTGTTGAGTTGAAATCTCCCGATCCCTCAACTTGCATCGCAAACAGTTTTTCAGAATTACAAACAGTTATCGGATATCAACACGTAACAAGCAAACGTTTATGCAAATAGAACGAATAAAATACAAGTTAAGCGGTATATCAAGCACAAGTGTATGTTGAAGTTTAAGTCAAGAACAAGGATGCAACAGCGTAGGTCAGCAATTAAAGAGTCAAAGGGAAAGCGGTTCTTTTGCGATAGTCAAAACGCGACAACTAGCGCTGGATGGCGACAACTAGCGCTATCCAGCGCTAGTTGTCGCTATCCAGCGCTGGATAACGCTGGCCAGCGCAAAATATATATGTTCGATAATTGTCGCTATCCAGCGCTAGTTGTCGCCATCCAGCGCTTGTTGTCGCCATCCAGCGCTAGTTGTCGCTATCCAGTGCTAGTTGTCGCTGGCTATGCGACACTGTCGCACGCGATAGTTTGCGATGGCCAGCGCAACTGGCCATCGCAGAAAACAGTTCGATAACTAGCGCTGGATAGCGACAACTAGCGCTGGCCAGCGACAACAAGCGCTGGATGGCGACAACTAGCGCTGGCCAGCGCTAGTTGTCGCCATCCAGCGCTAGTTGTCGCTATCCAGCGCTGGTTGTCGCTGGCCAGCGCAAAATACAAATTGTTGATAAATTTTCGATAATTGTCGTGACAACTAGCGCTGGATAGCGACAACTAGCGCTGGATAGCGACAACTAGCGCTGGCCAGCGCTAACCAGCGCTAACCAGCGCTGGCCAGCGCAATGCCAACGATCAAAATCAAATACTTGCGATATTACTATATACTTGCAATATTACAATTAGAATAGAAATTCGGCGGAATGACACTGTCTGGGCGACGCTCAGCCTGTCATTATGACAGGCTGAGCGTCGCCCAGTAAGTTGAGCTCCGCCCAGCTAGTAAGCCAACGCTAGATGACGATTGTAAATGTAGGTTTATAACCGTACCTTTACAAATATATGCGCACCGAGTTGGACTTGGATTTGAAAAAATATTTCCAATTTTACGAGTACAGAGTATCACCCGTTAAGCTGACAAGAAATATCGCAAATATATTGCGCTGGCCAGCGCTAGCTGACGACAACTAGCGCTGGATAGCGACAACTAGCGCTGGATGGCGACAACTAGCGCTGGATGGCGACAACTAGCGCTGGATAGCGACAATTATCGAACATATATATTTTGCGCTGGCCAGCGTTATCCAGCGCTGGATAGCGACAACTAGCGCTGGATGGCGACAACTAGCGCTGGATAGCGCTAGTTGTCGCCATCCAGCGCTAGTTGTCGCGTTTTGACTATCGCAAAAGAACCGGGAAAGCATATAGTTATCCACATTCCATTTCCACACATACATGCACGCAAAAAACACAGAACACACGAACAGCTAAGTCGGTTATTATTGAAGTGAGTTGCAAATTAATGGATTATTGTGGGAGAGGGAGAGTGAGAGAATACACAATCCACACACGTACACTTTAATCAGAAGTTAATTAAACTGAGCATATAATATATACTATACATAAGTAGTATTGGTTGCTTAATGCGAATTAAATTAAGGATGCCTTTTCGCCATTATTTATGACGCCCTATATTGACTCGGTATAGTTGAGTGCAAAGCTGGATCCATGACCAAAATTTGCTAGCATTATTATCCAGATTACAAGGTTACTCTGTTATTAGCCAAAATGATACAGTTATTACAGAGAATGATGCAGAAGGTATATGGACACGTTCATTGAAGTTTGAGGACATTGGTAAATATTAGTGACCCTACTAAATGGCACGATGATGTTAAATGTGTCACACTATAAAACTATATAAACCCTCAATGGTTAGGATAATCGTTTCATCCTCTAGATAAACTTTGTCGCATAACGATATCTTTATCAGACGATAAGATATCGCTTAAATGCGGCCGGCAGTGAGTTGTAAACTTTGTCACACTATAAAAATGTGACAGAGTTTATATATGGACCCCTTGTTGCCGTGTTTGACCAAATTTTCGAATTTCAAATTTATAGGATAGTTGCATATGACTATTATCTACATATTTAGCGACTTTTTTCGTTAAATGGTAGCACCATGTAAACTCCGTCACACATTTAAGAAATTTATATGAGGGATGTTTATGACATCCTGACAAGAAATGCCGAATAGTCTAGCATTATTTTGTGAGCTGAATGTGTTTGGAATTGTTCACATATTTCATTGTTATAGGCAAATACAAATACAGAAGACAGAAATAGGTAAATTTAGTCACATAAATTTGTATGATATCTCAACATGTGTGAAATTGAGCAAATATTAGTATACCAACTTAAACTCCCTATATTACGCACTATGGATCAATTAACAATATTTCAACCATACGCCGGTCATATAAATTATTATATGGCAGTGATATGTTAACATTGGCAAAATTTCAACACCTAAACAGGGTAAAAATTTGTAAATTTCGTCACAAAAAAAATATGATAACTTTATTTGCTATTTGTTGGCAAAATAACTAATTTATCGACATAGTGATGGTGATAAAGTAACATTATATACTAATTGAGGTATGATTCTTCAAAATAGGGGCAAGAAATGTAAATTTCGTCACATCAGCCATAGCATTAGTTAGATAGATTTTCTTTCATATCAACTGCCCTTATTATAGCTAGAATGGATTTATACAGGAAATATAGAAACCCATGCCCATTTTTCATCACATTGAAACTATACTGTTGGGGCAGGAA